TTTTAAAACGCCACTCATAAATTTATAAACGTTCGTAACTCGCAAGTAACTATCGGCTGTGCTGCTATTTTTTCACGCAAAAGAACAATGTGTGTCCTAAATCAAAGCGGGCTACGAGCGTACTTACAGTTTTCCGGGACTTTTCATTAGATGTCGAGTACCTTAGTCTAAAAATCGGATTATTAATCGTACGAGTGTAACGTGTTCCCCGTTTCTAGATTGCGTGGTATCTTAAGATATCAAATATAACATTTGAAAAAACCGTTACACTTTTGTTTATTATATGTCTAGTTTTTAAGAGCTATCTATACAAGCTGTGTAATCTTTCAAGTGTATTTAAGGGCTCAAAGGGGGCTTAAAATCGAAAAAATTTTTATTTCATTTTTGAGTCGGATTTTTGTCCCCTTTCCATTGCATTTTTCGAAACTTCAAAATTTTGATCATTCAGTGAGATACAGCTGTTTCCGTGAGCCATTTTCGTATACTTTGGGTGTTAAATTTTTTCTTCTTTTGCGTTTTCTGGCGTTTAACGTTTTTACAAAGTGCACCTCAGTTGTCGTAACTTTCAGAGGGTACCGATTGAGTTACCGCACCAGGGTCGCGTACACTTCTTCAGAACATCAATGGTTACGGTCACAACCTCGGGCGTGTCGATCCGACCCTTCAGTCACCCTGCATAAACACTGAAGCACAATTTTTTTTCATTGTACGTTTTTTTTGTGAGCTCCTTCATCAATCTACTGATTGAAAGTGATTTTTGTGACCGTAACATTGATGTTCTGAAGAAGTGTACCCGACCCTGGTGCTGTAACTCAATCGGTACCCTCTGAATATTAATGGAAAGAGGACAAAAAATCCTACTTGAAAATGAAATAAAAATTTTTTCGATTTTAAGCCCCCTTTGAGCCCTTAAACGCAATGAAAATTCATTTTACATACCAGCGGCCCGAAAGTAGCACTTCCCGGCCCCTGCGCTAAACGGGATATTGCTATTTTCGGGCCCTGGGTATGTAAAATCGTATACTGGCCTATACCGGGAAAAAAAGAAAGCCTCAGTGCACGTGCTAATCGACCTCGGCTTCGCCACGGTCGCTTATTTTACGTGCCCTAGGACTTTTCTTTTTTTCCCGGCCTAGGGCAGTAATATACTATTATTTATAAATATTATTATATATTATTTATAAAGAGAATACTTTACAATTTACAGTCATTTCATCACAAAAATCTAAAAATGTCAGCTCCAACCGACGATGAAGATTTTTCATTTTTAGCCAAAACCGTATGGGAAACAAATTTTACCTGGACCTCGAGAGTTATGAAGGTTGCCTTTTTATTCCCTTTTCAAAAAAGGAGAGTACGAATAATTGGAAATTTAATTTTAATTTCATATTTATTGATTACATCTGTATCCACGGTAAGTGTTTAAACGATTTCACTGGCATAAAGATTTTCTATAGTATTTTATGCTTCAAGTGATGCTTTCATATTTAAGGAGGTTCGATAGTAAACTTCATGTCTTTAGAAATGCCTGAAACTTTTTTATTTTAATCTTTGATAAGAAATGAATGCACTGTTAAAATCTTAGATTGATCTACAATCTAGTTTTCGAGAAAAAAAAATCAAAAACGACGTCTTATACATGGGTCTTATGGGGAAAGTTACAACTATGTCACAAAAAAAAGCATTATGCAAACGAATTAGACTTAAGAAATGAAAAAAAAACTATTTTTTAGAAGACCAAGAAGGTATTGATCATTTTGAAAAAAAAAACGACTCGTTTTACAACACTGAATGCTCAATAAACAAGTCTAAAAACGTGAGATTCTGAGCCACGCGAGCCGAAATGTCGCGTTTTTACACGTTCATTGCTGTATTTCAGCTAGTAAAAATAAAACGTACTCTCTGGAAAATATGTATTTCGATGGGAAATTTCCTCAGCTTTCGATTGAGACTCCTTTGAAAAATCTTAAAAATGCGTTTTTTGATATATTTAATGTTAAAAGTTTATTTTTACAATTTTCCGTGGAAAATGGAAAATTTTTGAAAATCTGACTTCACCATCGGAAAGCTGAGAAAATTTCCAATCGAAATCATATGTCACAAATTTTTTTTAAGTGCGTTTAGGAGGTTTTTCAGCGAGATAGAAGTTAAGCAATTTCACCTATAAGTGCCGTGCGGCCGCTACATGCTGTTTTGCTAATAATATTTTGTTCCCATGAGTTGGTATCACTCCTTCGTGCCCGTGTATAAGCATAGGCGACCCCCTCTCCCCGCCTGCCCCTTGAAAGTGCTATCGAACCTCCTTAAAACGAGGAGTTATAGCATGAGCCAAAAGCGAGTGCTATCCCAAGTTATATTGAAAATGCACACTCACACAAGTTGCATACCAATATTTCATAGCACAAGAGCACAAAAATTTAAGTATTGGTAAGAGTGGTTTATAAAAATAATTATCATTTATTAAGATTTTGAAAATCTCCCGGGATTTAAGAGAGAATCAAATGATGACCGCAAATTTGGTTGAGTCGATATTCCAACTACTAACTTTTTTAATAGTAATATTTTGTTACCTGCGTATGGTAGTATGCTCAGAAAAGGTAAATAAAATAATACATATGATTATACGGAAAATATGAAAATAGCATACGTTAATAATAGAAAGAAAAAAACTTAATTTTTAATGGCAACAAGATCTATAGCTGTGCAGCATTAATGGTTAAAATGTGGAAATCTAATTCTGAAGATACCCAAGAAAAAATGTTCAAAATATTCAAAAAAGGATACCACATTGGTATTTTTCAAACAGGTTGGCTTTAAGACTGCATAAAATTATGTTAATAATGATTTACTTATTTGGAAATTTTTTAGTGGCATTATTTATGTTACTCATAAGCTTTGGAGTAGCACCAATAGCTGTCCCGGTCTTCTTAAACTGGGCACTTCCAGGCAATCAGGCTTACGAAAAAACTTTACCTCTTCATACAGAACTATTTTTGAGCGAAGATCAATACTTTTATCAAATTTTTACAGTTCATATTTCTGTATTATTGGTCATTAGTTTACTAATTAGCGCCATGAATGATTTTCTAGTAACAGCTATATCAGTTATAATTGGTCAAATTCGTGGATTAGAGTTCGTGTAAAAACTTTTCTGAGTAAAATAAAATTTTAATGATGTGACATTTTTTTACAGGTACTTTTTACGTAAAATGGATGCTGAGTACAAATGCAAAATTTTAGATGATGAAAAAAAGGGAAACATATGGGGTTTTGAACAGCTTCAAGAATTTATTCGCTTGCACTACATCATTATCGAGTTATAACTTATTTAATATATATTTAATGCCAAAGGTTTTTGTTAACTATTCACTCATATTCCCATGAATTCTAGATTTTTCAAAATCGTTGGTGATATAAGTGACATTTTAATGTTTGTTGTATTAATTGGATCGAGTTGTATGTTCGTCTTGACGACTACATCGGTATGCTTTGGTCGATAGATTTGAGTTATTGAATTACTATTGAAAAGGTTCATATTTTTAGATGGTAATCTTAATGGAAACCGATTTATTAGGGTCAGCAAAAGTTTTGTTGGCATTTGGTGCTACTATGTGCGCGTTAACTTATGTTTGTGTTCCAAGTCAAATGTTAAAAAATGCGAGCGATGATCTATTTTTTACCTGGTAATTTTTACACACAATTACCGATCCTTAAAATTCAATCAAGTAAATGATTTATTTCATTCAAGCTATAAGATACATTTTCGATGTTACCCTGTAAAAATGCAAAAGATGTTATTATTGATCATGATAAGGTCTAGGAAACCTTTCGTTTTAACTGCTGGGTCAATCATAGAATTAAATTTAGAAACCTGGAGTTCTGTAAGTCTTTTCTTTTAGTTATATAATGTAAGAGTTCTTATTAAAATTATTATTTTCAGATAATCAAATCTTCAATATCGTATGCAGCAGCTTTCAGATCGGTTTATACGTCATTGTAAATTTAACAAAATTTGATGAATGATTATCAACTTACTCTATATTTTTTTTTCAAAATTTCAACCTAATTAAATGTCGATGCTTTTCATTCTTTTTAAAGTACATTGTTATACTTTTGTTTGATTAAAAGTATTCTTCATGATACAAGCTCCATAAATTTCCCCTTTTCAAAGCAAAAAAAAACTTTCTTCGCGTCAGCCGATGATTACAAGTGCTCTGAGGCTTCTGTATAATAGTTTTTCGCTCTCCTAGGTACGTAATCGACAAATCTATGATGGTTATATCTTTTTCTCCTTTGCCGATACTGTCTCTCATGGTATCTTTTAAAATATTTCTATTTTACGATTAAATAATCTGCAAGGTGAAAATTCGAAGCCGCAAACTAAAGCTGAGATTGCAATTTTGTTAACTTACAGAAGTATGGTATAACTTCTTTTGGCACTGCCCAGAAAACTGAGGCTTTCATATGTGATTTTATTAACTAACGCCAAATGACGCCTACAACGATAAAAGTGAAATCATTCTCCGCAATTGTCGAGCAATCAACCTCCACTAGTAATTATAGAAGTATAATTTTTACCAAATTCAGTGTGATACACGTAACTGCGTTACCATGCGTTGGTCGGTGGCGGCGCACGCCGCGTGCATCTGTGTCTGTTACCCGTGTGTGTGTACTGTGTAGTATAGAAAAGGAACGACTCTGCTCGGAATTCGGAATTGAAATTGTCGCGATGTGGAATGTCGTTCCGGCGGCGGCGGCGCCGTCGCCACTATCCCCATATAAGCTCAACGAGCATCGATACATTAAAAACATATCTGCTTGTATACAAAAAAATACCAGAGGCTCATTAGTAAATGATTATCAGCTCGCACTTCTCCCTCTCTCCCATTTCCATTCTTGCCCGCGCCAAAGTCGACTCCTTATTTTGACTTTCTACCATACAAACGTAAACGTATTTACAAGTCAGTTCAAAACTCTATTCCAACGCGGCGACAGTTAACTGCCGCGAGGCCGTGTTGTGCTGCCGCCACTAGCCTCTCACTATTATATCTCTCGCGCGAATACACGAGAGAGAAAAGTCGATCCTTGTATTCTCGCGGCGGCGGCTCATGTGCACCACTCGTCGCGCGTACTGCAGCAGCAGCAGAGACGTTTCAGTGACGCCACGGCCGTCAGCGATACTCGCTCGTAAATGCCATAATATACATATAGTGCATGCACATCTCTCTCCAGTGCAGTTTCATCGTTGCTCTTGACTGCTCGAGTGTTTGTGTACGCGTGTATGTGTTATATGTGTGCGTTTGTGTATGGTACACACGGGAGCTGCGCACCGCGGGGCAGTCAGCTCTGCAATACATGTAATCTGGTGCAGTGTGCAGTCGGTCGGCCCGAGCTGCAACAGCAGCAGCAGCAGCAGTAGTGTCCGATGTGCAGTGTATTGTGAGTCCGTGAGTATTTTTCTACTACCGATGCGATAGAGGAGAAGAAGAAGAAGAAGTGCACGCAAACGTGTGCGCGCGGCGCGGCTATTTTCTTTCGGCCTCGTCTCTCGTGTCTCCGTGTATACGTGATTTTTTGTTGGTCATTGTTGTTGTTTGTATCGGATCTGTGCGAGTGATATATAACACCCGAATTGGCGTGAATGGCGTCTGGCGAGCCGTGAGACGTCTGCGAAAAAGGGAGTCTACTCTCGGGCGGCAGTTGTCGTCCAGTGCAGCAGCACACAGATCGTTCACCTTACATAGGGATCTCTGCGCTTCTGCCGTTTCATTGAAAACAACTGTAAGTACACTGCACACGATATATATAGCATATATACACAAAGCAGAAACGCCGTTCGCCAACCTTTTTTTATCCCCCTTTTTCGTTTCTACGCATGAAATACAACAGACATGCGTGTCCGTGTGTAGATTTTGGCTCGCGCGTCGGTCATTATATGCGTGTGTACTTACAATGCACATATATACACACGCGCGCGCGTACATTACATTCGTACACAACGGTAACACAAACGAATGGGAGAGGTCCTGTGGAATAGGCTATATAATGTAACGTGTATAAAGTCAGCTGTGTGCCTGTGTGTTGGGTATATATGCACAAACGTGCAGCAGCAGCAGCTCCTTAGATCGCGAGGTGGACTAATGACCCAGAAAAAGGAACCTTTTCTTATATACATTTTTTTTGTAACTCTTTTTTCGTCGTCGTCGTCGTCGTCGTCGTCGTCCGTATAATAGTCGCGTGGCCTGAATAAAATATGTTCCTGAAATTCACGTTCCGTATTATTATAAGTATATAACGTTTAAAAGCCCTGCAGGCTGCAGGCATGATCGCACACACATTATGCAAACACATGCATACACACATGCGAGCTCATGTGTGCATGTGTAAGTGCCGCTCGACGATTCATGTTTCTTTTTTTTCTTCTGCTTTACTTTTGTATATATATACACACGCAACTTCGCTTTAATATAAACTTCGTCGCCGTCTACTCGCCTATCGATGGATCTCGATCTTCGTAATATCAAATAGATTTAGATATATATACGCAAGCAGTTCGCTAAACTCTCTCGACTCGATATACGCGCTAAGCGGGGAATATCTTTTTGACCGCATTCCGCGGAGAAAGAGACGTCGAAGCCTATACACACACAGACACACACACATTCATATATATAAGACGAAGAAAGATAGTGCGCGTATTAAGTGTATATATAGGGAGGGGTTAAATCGCGGCTCTACGATTATAATACCTTCGCCACGCTCTCTACAGCTCGTTTATCTTTTATCACAGCCGTGCGCTGCAGTGTATGTATGTGCCATGCGCATGTACATACATACATAAAGGCTCCACTTTTAATCGTCGCTCCATCATCCCATCGACCTAATGAGGTCAATGTAATATATATGAACTGTATATATATTCGCCCGGGCTATACATCATATCCCAAGCTCTCGTTCCTTTTTTTTTTAGCCGCGAGCACGCGACTCTACTTTACTTACTCTCTCTTTCTCTCTCTCGACCCGCAGAAGTGCAGTTGTGGCAGTAGCAGCAGTTGAAGCGGAGTATAACGAACTTAATAGAAGTGCGCGGCGATCGATTACTCATGGCCCTTAATAGAATGTCACGCGTTGTGCATAGCGCTGTAATATTGACGCGTCGGTCGCTGTAGCTCGTCGACGTCGCGCGCAGTTACATACTTCGCAACGACGACGATGAACTCGTTCGCGATCTCGTAAACTCGTTAAGTATTGCGTACATAGATAGGTTTGAAGGAGATCGTTTGAAAGGAGGAGAAAGTTTTAGTATAGGATAAATGTCATTTCGTGGGCGTGGGTTGAGATGTTTTTTTTTTTTATTTACGTAATTGATTTTGGTCATCGATTCATTAACTATGTTGACTGACCGGTATATAATAATAATATTTAGTATGAGAGTTGCGCGCGAACCACTTTGAAAGAAAAGTGAGACGTTCTTCTATACATGTGTATTAATGATATGTGCACGCAAATGAAATGACAATTGCGCGACTGTCTCTTATTCCCACGCTCGAAATCCTCATACAGCGTAGCAGAGATTCGATCGTACGTCTTTCTTTGCGTTTTCTCTCCATTGTTGCACGTCGACGATCGAGAAATCTCCTCCTCCTCGTTGAAACATATATAAATTTGCGCTAGCTCTCGAAATGATTGGAAATATGTTAATTGTTCCTCGATCGAGACGACAACTGCGACGAGAGCAATTAATGCCATTCGCAACAATCGCAACAATAAGAGAAAAAAAAAGGAAAAAGAGAAGAAGAAAAAACTCGCGTTGTTATGTTCGCAGCAGCAGCAGCAGCAGCAGCAGACTCGAGACGGTGTGGCACTGCAGTGCACCGCTGTAGCTTTTATGAATGAAAGCATGAGAGTGATCTGTCTGTTTATATATATACGTATGTATAATACCGGAGAGCCACGTACAAGGCGAGCTTTTCGAACTGTGCGCGCGGTTCGCTATTCAGACGGCGACGGCAACGGGCGGTGGCGGCGACGTTTCAATTCGCTGCTTCCGCTCTTATACAGTCTCGCTGTGTCTATCTCTCTCTCTCTCTCTCTCTCTCTTGCTCTTGACGTTTTACAATGCACACGTGGTATACAGTAGTGTACGACCGCGACGTCGCTGAAGAAGATAATGCGAAAATATACCCCCGTCGCGTTCGTGCACGTCCCTCCCACAATTGACCGTTGATAGGTTCTTATTCTTGAATTAAAATAAAAAAAAAAATAAATAAAAATAAAAAACGCACGCAACGTGTCCTCTTCCACCCATCCGACTTCGTTAATTAAACCTTTCCTGCCGCGCTAGGAGAGACACATTCTCTCGCTCGTCGATGATTTATCGCGTGCCTATATACTTTACTTATATATTTATAGCCATCCCGAGGCGTCCGATAATCGTAGGAAAAAACGTATATAGTTGTCGCACGCGCTCATGCTGGCGTCTATCGACCTTTTAACGCCTCGTTGGCCGCCGCGCGCATAACTCATCACACCTCTAGGAATATGTGCGGTTATACATATAACGCAGTAACGCTTTTCTAAAGAAAGGATGAGGCCGCAAAGTCGATCGATATTGTAAGACAATGACTATATATATCTATACATCCTATCGGGCGCGCTTATCGGCTTCTGCGCTTCGGCGCTTCGTGTAGTAGTAGTTGCTCCGGGAACGATGTTACAATATACATATAGCGCACGCGAACCCATACACCCACGCTTGCCTCGCTTGATTTTCTAGGATAGATAGATACCTATATACAATGCCATACGTATGTGTCAGGAGGTGAAGGGAAAGGCAACCGGTCGAGGCTTTCAATGCTATTGCCACTGCCAACTATCCAACAACGTGTGTGTGTTGCAGCACGAGCACACATTGGTCTAAGACTTCCACCTATACCTATACAATGATATATCGTAACACACAGTCGCGTGTCGTATCTCGCGCATCCGATCTATGGCTCGTGCGCGACCTCACACTGAGCTCGTAATTTCTTCTCTTGCTCCTATTCCTTTTTTTTTATTATTTCTTCTTCGTTCGATCATCGTGTCTTTATCCTTCGTTTTCTAATTGTTCTAAACTCGTATCGCTTTGGATATACTCGCAGCTCGAGAAAACATCACGCAGTTAACGGAAACGAAACAAAACAAAAAATCAGAGTCTCTCTCGAACGCCGTGACACACGATAGCGTATGCCTGCGCTATGATATAAATGCCGTTACACGCATATTCCTTTGACACACGACTGTCACTTCGTCATCGCTTCTAGATATACTCTATTGTAAAGCGTGCGCTGTGTAATAGCTTCCATAACATATAACAACGATATCGTGTCCTCCGCGCGTTGTGCCGGGTTGCGCTGCTTCGTCGCTCTAACGCACGCATCGTCACTCGCGATGATCGCCTTGCATAATAAATATTTTTTATCGCGTTTAGCTTCGACGCATTATTCATCGCTATACAGTATACTCGAATCGTCATTCTCGCCGCAAAAAAAACTGTCATATTATATACTTGTATACATATATTTTGTATGCAAGCGAGCGAGATTATGAAGTAACGCCGCACTATATATGCATATGCACGGAAGGTGTCGAAAGCGTCGACGCCCCGCTAAGTCGTCTCTTCTTCTTCTTCGCTCGCGCGCTCTTGTACGTAATGTATCTCATTTTTTTTGCTGCTGCTGCTGCTGCTGTGCTCGCTGCTGCACACTTGGAAAGTATTAAAAGGTCGCTCGCCTTCGAGCTTATCCCACGCAGTCGCACTCATACGTACACACGTTAGACAAAAAGAGACACGAATATATGTATGCACAAGTTTCGTTGCGCAAAAAAAATGACGTCGCTCTTATATTACACACGTTCACACATTCACGCATTCGCACACACGTAGGAGCATATACGCATCCCGGCCGCGTGCTTGCAGCAGCGTGTATGTATATTTTTTTAGGTAAATACGGGCAAAAATAGAGCGACTGGTAACTCTATGTATATAAAGCGTGGAGCGCCGGAACGACTACGCCTTGTGTACACAGACACACATGCACAAATGCATGCGATACATAAATATAGCACGAGAAACGCATGTAGTATAGGTACGCCGCGACTTTTTTTCCCCCCGGCAGTAGCATGCCGGTGACGAACATTCACGCAGACTTACAATATATCTATATTGTGTGTCGCAGCATCGATTCTTTTCAATGGCATGTGTTCACAGCTCTAAAACACTGTATACGTACACGCGATCGCACCGCAAGTGCAACTATTCAAGTGCACATCTCTGCCTCTCTCGTGTTCCCGTAAACGTATAAAAAGCTCGAGCTTACATCGTGTATCTACGACGCGTAATTTTAATTTCAAAGCTTCGGCTTCGCTCGAGCTTTCGGAAATCGAATCGGGCGCGCATATTATACACTTCCAAGTCATCCGCGCGCACACACAAAAGAGCTAATAGAGAATTGGGAACGAGTTCGTCGTCGCTCGCGAGAAAGCTCGAGAGAAAGAGAGGGAAATGGTCGGGGCGATTTTGTCGAGCTTCTGCGAGCGGCGTTTGAGAGCTTTTACTCGAGAGCGAGAGAGAGGCTATTTTAATTTCGTCCCGAACTGTCTACTACCACTCGTGTGCAGCAGCAGCAGCACCCATGGATCGAATTAGCGCGTTGGTATGTATAGAAAAGTGGAAAACTGTAATGGTTCCGAAAACAGCTCGAATGCGTATACATTGCAGACATATATTTAAGGGATTCTTTAGGAAAAGGGGAGAAGCGTGTGTAACGCGTACTTATGTACTGCAGCACGTTCGTGTCCGCAGCGTATAAAGCTCCACGCGCGCTGCACACACGTTTTTTGCGAGCTTGAAAATACGACGACAATTCGTATTGCCTATGCGCGAGCTGCAGTCGCTGCATACACACATGCGACTCTCGAGCACGTCTCCTCTCTCTCTCTCTCTCTCTCTATCTCTCTTACTCTTTCCACTATACGTAGTATACGACTTTGTAGACTGACAATATGCACATATAGGAGCTGCACACGAAACGAACTGTCTCTCTTCCGATGCGCGTTCGAAACTCGTATACACCCGACCCTTGCACTTTACTCGCGCTGCACGATGCGTGTGTGCGAGCAAATAACACCGAGCTTAAAGAGTGGCATATAGGATTGCGCGCCGAAGCAATGTCGTCGTTGCTCTCAGTCTGTCTCTCTCGCTCTCTTTTTGCTTCATGCGCTGCATGCGTTATCTGTCTTTTTAGAAAGAGAGAAAGAGAGCCCCGATATATATAAGCCACGCCTGAAAACCGAGCCCTCTTTCTCTCTTGTATTATACTCTCTGCAGTACATCTCGTTTTTCGCTGTGTCGCTTGTTATTGCGACTATGCTGCTCGCTATCATCTTGACGCTGCCGAGACTCGTCGATTCCAAATTCTCTCATTGTATTTTGTACGAAACGATATGCGACGAGACTTTTTTCGAGCCGCGTCGTTATTATCTCAATATATCAAGTATAACATCGCTCTAATTATCTGGACAGGACGAGCGACGACCATTAGTTTCTAAACTTGCGCAAGTCTTTGAAGGGTTCGCTCGAAATCTTGCAAATTTTCTTCGTCAAAAGACGAATTCTCGTAACGCCCTCTAATTTATCGTCCACGCGACTTTTCTTATTATACTCGCGCCTCGCTCGACTTTCTTCTTTTTCTTTCTCTCTCTCTCTCTCTCTCTTTGATTTTGGATTTTCCCTCGTTTCTCGAGCTCGCCTCACGGGCAACGATCCAAAAATATACATCGCGGGTGGTTTGAAAGCTCACCGCGCGCAACCACGACGTATGCACGCCTCCCCCACCTCCCTCCACCTTCGCCGCGAACATCGTCGTCGTTAAGTTGCCATCGTAATGCAGAGAATGCGTGCGCAGATTTTCAAAGTTCGAGCACTCTCGAAATTGATATGCTCGATGTATTATGAACGAGAGCGATGTTTCGTCGATAAGCCAATCGCAAAACAGCTGCTGCCTCTTTCACTCGAGAACTTATCATCGAGAGTCGAGGCCTAATCATCGATCTCGTCGCGTTGCTCCTATTTTATACAATGTATAATGAATATTATATGTGTAGCATGCATTTCAGCTATTGTTCGACAAATTTGCAAATAATCAGTGTATAGCAAGTTTGTCGACCTTGCCGGGCGCTCGCGAGCAACTGCAAAACTTACTTTGTTAGTACAGTATACATGTAGGAACGAAGGACAAGAAATATAAATATTCTTAACAGTGAGGAGCTTTATTATTTGAGACTAGCTCGTCTCGGAGGTTGTCGCTGAACTGAACTGAACGATTAATTAGTTTTATCGCCTGGCGACGATAAAACAATAGGTGAACATTTTAGCAGTTCAATTACTTAATTATATATGTAAGACTGCGGTGAAGTGAGTCGCCACATACATAATGCGACCAATGTATCATTAGTCCAGCTTACGTGCATTTTTCGAAAAAATCACCGCTAGATGTCGAGTAGACCTTGATCCGTAAGTCTGCAACTGGCTAAGTGAAAATAGTTGTATAAGTCTAAGCACGGGTTTGAAGAAAATTACGGGCAGCATTATGATTTTATAAAATATCATAAAAGTTTAATTCGAATCGCGTAAATATATTCATTCTTTCGCATTGACTTCGAATTCGTGCAAGTGAAGAACGAAAAAAACTCGCTCCACTTTTACATCGATCATCGTGTAAATATTTTTCAACAAAGTTACGCTTCGCGAGTATATATAAAGCGCAAGCGCTCGCCGAAATAAGCTCGCGCGCGCACAAAGGGACTGTCTTGTCTCTCTACATGTGAATTTATACACGTACGTAAATTGCGCGCGTGTGTATGTATGTGCGCTCTGTATAGATTCTCGGAAAGTCCCGAGTTCGCGGTTATAGTCGTATGTATACCCGTGCATCTTTCAAGCTTCGCGCGGTGCTATACTATATAGAGCCCATTAAGCTCCCTCGCGCATATAAGCCTGAATTCCTTCGCAACGATGAACTTTTTATGTAAAGCGTGTAAGACATGCCCGATACGCACAATTATGACTCATGTGGGCTCTCTCATATGATTTACAGTTCTGCAGCAGCGATTTCGTAATAGTCGGGCGATGAAAGATGGTAGCGCGAAGCAGCCTCGTGTACGAGGAACTGGCCGCTGCCCCTACGCCGGCTCTGCGCTCGTCCTCGGAGGCCAACAGAAGCTGACCCCAGCCGCCACGTAGCTTGCTATTCGCCACGAACAGCAGCAGCGGCAGCAGCGACAATAATAACAAAATGGCAACTAGCCGTGGAGGAGGAGGCGGCGAAGATCGTCAAGAAACCTTCGGACCGCTGCAGATGTATCAGCCGCTGCCGCAGGACGGCCTGCAGCCCGAGAAGGAGCCCGTGGAGTTCGACTGTCGTCATCTGCGCGGTGCCCCGGCCGAGGTCGAGTCCCTGGTGCGCAACATCGAGCAGGTGGCCCAGCAGTTTCTCTATCACTGGAAGACCTTTCCCATCGTCTTGCCCGTGGGCTTATCGTCTCAACAACATCAACAGCAGCAGCAGCACAACAATGTCGTCGCGGCCAACAACGGCGAGGACAGTCTGGTGCGCGGCGCCAGCAAAAAGTACCATCAGCAGTACCATCTGCGCGACATGTTCGTCGCGCCGAGCTTCGACGAGCTCGACGCCGTGGCAGTCGACGTCAAGGGCGAGCCCCGCAGGCTCACCAACAAGCAGCTCGAGAGCATCAGAGAGCGAGGGTAAGTGTACACATTATAAATTTGCTTCTTATATATAAAAGTACGCTATATTAAAGTTCAAAAGTCAAGTTCGATGCACAATAATGAGTTCATCGACCTCCCCGTCTCTTCTCCATTTAATCCGCACTCTTCATTGTCCACGAACTTTTCATTGAAAATATATAATGTATAATATAATAATGAATGAGGGAGAAACGTTGGAGTGGGGAGAAAATTAATTACAAAGTACAAGAGCAAAAACGATTGTTGTATTTTTTTTCTGTGTGTGGAAACGAAAGCTTGCACAAGGATAAGTACGGGAAGCCAAAGAAGCTCAATGCCGCTCAGCTGGAGAGCATTCGAAGATACGGGTACGTGTCCTGCTTTCAATTTCGCATCGCAGGCATATCGCATTTATATTCAATGTTTAGAATGTACCCATTGTGTATACGTTTTTTATGACCACCACACTGTGTAAATACGATAATACATGCATCATTCAGGTTCACGTTTTGATAACAACGAAATACTTGTAAAAAAATATCCAGTTATCAGCTATATGTTTATGTTTTTTTTTTATAACGCGTCGACGAACAACAATCCAGCATCCATCAAAACGTGCACATACCTGTGTACATCATACGTTACTTGAATTTACCCTTTATATCCTTTAAAGCTTCCTCATGCAAGTTCAGCTATGTATCATAAATCCATTACTCGAGTGCATGCAAAAATTGTACCAATACAGCTAATGCACTATACCACATGCATAGAGATAAAAGAATTTTTTAATAAAAACACTACATTAATCCTGGTAGAAAAAAATGGCTATTTAAAAGGTTTTAAAATAGGTTTCCATTTGTTGACTGATTTTTGGCCATTTTTCTATTATCATTATGTTATTAATAAATACTAAGCGCATTTTAAATGAGTTGAAAATGACTTGAATCGTTTCCTTTGTTTTCAATCATTTTAAATGCAATGATACCACTTCAAGTCTTCACCGCCAGATGGCGAGTACCTAGTCTAAATCTGCAAGTGGTAAAGTCAAATTAATTGTATAAGTCAAACTCAAAATAACTGTGTAAACTGTCATTGTCGAACATTAATGGAAGAGGTTAGAAATGTTCAAAAAAAAGTTACACTTATAGTTAGTGTATTTTCAGTTCTAATATAATCTCTTTTATGTAAAAAAAGCTTTTATTGCCCAAAAATTAGTCATAAAATGTCGAGCATTTCTACCAGGTATCAAATGCACGTACAAATTGAAATGTTTTTTTTTGCATAATGTTTTGCATACTCAGGGTAGCTCAGCGACGACTGCTCGGTAATTTAACGTGCGTGAACCCCCACTTGATTTTTTTTCTTGCCGTTACGCGAGCCTCTCGCACTCTCTCTCTCTCTCCTCCCGAATCGATACTAATCCATCATTGTATTTTCCACCGCTCGCAGGGAGTTCGAGGTGGAGTCTCTCAACTTTCCGGGCCAGCAGCATCGCTGGCGTCTGAGCGGACTGTTGCAGCGGGGCCGCGACCGGAGACGCGAGGCGCTGCTGCGCGATCTCGCGCTGGCCGCCCGCTTCATCGTCGTCACCGCCAAGAATCGACTGGTCTCGCACTGCTTCAGCGTGCGCGAGTCCGCGAAGGCGCTCGTGGCGGGCACGCTGCGACTGCTCGACATCTGCGTCGGAGTGCCGTCCCTCGAGGCCCAGTATCTCGATCACAAGATCGCCGAGGAGCGATGCAGATACCTCGTCGCCGAGCTCGTTTGCAAGGTAAGCCTCGAAATTCGGCATCGAGTAGGACTATCTACTAATCGATATGAACTTTTTATTTATATGACATTTAATCCGGTACTGGTGATGGTAGTTGGCCTTGCATGCAATAGTAACTATACGAGGCATAACAATTATTTACATTGTTTTTGGGAGTATATTACGATTGATTTGTCTATTCGTTTAATAGTTGAGTTTCATCGTTTTTTTTTTTTTTAACTTGAAAAGCTATCAATTTCATTCAATATACTTTGGATACGGAACAACGGAATAGAGTCTTTAAAATACTGAATGAATAAGTCGTTAGTTCCAACTCTGCTTCTAGATGGTAAGCATTTTTATTTTTCACGTTGCGTTCACATGCGACAGGAAATATTGAAAAATTCTTATAAAACGATAGAACGTTAAATTGGTCCAAAATCTTCGGAACAAATTTCAATAGAAACAAAAACTGAATATGAAAAATTAACTGTTCACAAAAATTTAGACCAGTTTCCAAACAAACAAATTAAAGTGGCAAAGTCAAAATAATTTTATATGTGAGATCAGTCTTTCAACTGTTTCGAAAAATTGTACATTTTTGATTAATGGCCTTTTAATATCCCAGAAACTTTTTCATTGACCGATAACTATTTATAAATTGTTTAGTACTTTTACTACAGAGCCTTCCTTTTGACGTTGAGATGAATATTCATTTATTTTTTAGGAAAAATTTAATCAAACCAACATATTACTTCTTTTCATTTCAAATTTGATTCAAAAATACGTATTTTACGTTTGCCACAGGCCGAGTACGACGACTCGCTGGAGCTGCTCTGCGGCTTCGTGCGTCGCCAGCTGCAGCGCGCCGCCACGGAGAAGTTCGAGGTGGAGCTCGAGGCCCAGATGCTGCCCGTGCCCGTGCCCTACGTGTTCGGCACGCCGGGCGGCGCCTCCGTGGATCTGCGCCTCTTCAATCGCAACACCATCAAGAAGGCCCTGCCCACCCTGGTCGGCATACTGGAGCGTGAGACGCGCGGCTGGTTTCTGCACTTCCGCGAGAAGCTCATCTCGGAGCTGAGAGCACAGAAAAAGAGCGACGAAGAGATCGAGCGAGTGCGTGTTACACACACAAACTTTTCTCACGCGTTTGCTGATTTTGCGTTGTCTCTTAACAACGTCAAATTTTTTTTTGTCTCATGCAGGAAGTCAACGAAGCGGTTATGCGCGAGTACCTGCACCGCGTCTACACGTCCATCCTCTCGCATCCGGACATCGCGGCGCTGGGCGAGGGCGTGGCCCAGCTGCTGGTGCAGCAGGCCCAGTCGGTCGTGCTGATGCATCGCGCGGTGGACAACGTGCAGCGCAAACTGGCCAAGACCAAGCAGAGCCTGAGGGAGCGCATCGAGCGCGAGCACCCGGTGCTGTCGCGCATCGGGCCCTGGATGAGGGACAGGATGCGCGAGGCCGAGGCGAGCTTCATCGAGGAGTGCGAGTGGAGCGCCCACGAGGAGGCGATCGCCCTCTGCGCCCAGCACAATCTCCAGCAGACCTGCTACTTTCTCAACAGGGATCTGATATTCATGAAGGAGGTACGTGCTAGCAATTCCAAAGTTGCTAAAAATCGTTTTGCTTTGTACAGCTTCCTTGGTAGAAATGTTTTGAAATATATTATCAGCAATCGGCTTGTTTTTTTGATATTACTTTTTCATTATGTTAAAAATATAATGTGCGTTTTAAATGATCTGAAAATGCCAATGGATCTAATTAATTCAAAAATTTTAGATCCGTTTGCAACCTCTTTGAATGTGCCCATAATACTACTTTATCTATTCACCACTAGATGGCGAGTACATTACATCTGTAAATCTACAAGTAGCAAAGTTAAAATAATTGTATAAGTCAAAGAGTTTTGTCATCATATGAGTCATCATATGTTAGATTATGGGGTTCTTTTCCTTAGTACATTCATAAGGCCATTTATCCGCAAGTATTTTTCGTTGGCCAAAAACAATTTTGAACATTTCTATCAGGGTTTCTTAAATACTTTGACTATTTTAAAATATACACAATGCAATGGTGAAAAAAGAAACTTTTGATTGAGTTCGTGCACTTGATCGCATGGAAATCCAAATGTTTTGAAATGTGATTTTCCAAGTAAAAGTGTAAAAATCAAGTTTTTGAATAATACTTGCAGAGGTTGAATGTTAGAAAAAAAACAAATTATCGAAGTATCCATTAAATACAAGTCCGAATGTCAGCTTTCATGTTTTTATCGGACGCTTTATCCTGTAAAATTTTTTTATTATTTTTGTTTTAATCAATATCAACATTTTAAAATTAATTTCTATAAAAACTTACAATAATACTATTTTATGATTTTTTTCAAATCAATCGATTTAAAGCATTTTATTCTAAACATGTTTTAAGTCGTAAGACGCGTAGTGTCCAAAATCTAATTACTAAAAATTTTACCTCATACAATATCTCGTTCATGTGATTTTCTCCGACCCCCGCAGAGAGAACCGGTCCTGCTGAAAGAGCTCAAAAAAGTCAAAACGCCAACGAGGAGCTTCCAGTGGCCCACGCAGATCTGGCTGCCGAAGAACTGGATCGTCCGCCGGAGCTTTCAGGGCCAGTCGGAGACCATACCCACGGTGCTGAGCAGCACCCCGACGTCCATCACCACGCCACGCGCCGACCCGAGTCAGCCCGTGTTCCTCGTGGAGCGCGAGATCGTGCGCACGACCACGACCCGCTGGCCCCTCTGGCGCTGGATCAATTACGTGTCGCGCACCTGGTGCTGGACCTGGAACGCCATGTTTCTGTTCGGCGTCGCCGTGCCCTGGTGCTCGCCGTTCTCGCTGCGGGCGCTGCTGCTCATGCAGCCGTTCACGCCCGATCTCGAGCTCAGTCAGCTCAACGGGACGCTGTTCCCGCGCAAATCGTCGCAGACGCCCACGCTGCACTCGCGCCTCATCACGCTCTGGCGTCACATAAGCAAGAGTCGAACGCACTTCGAGACGGAGCCCGACACGGGCTTCATCGGCAAGGGCATGACTCGACACATCAATCGGCTCTGGAACTACGGTGCCAAGGGCTTCGTCGGCACTCTCGTCATTCTGTTCCTCTTCCCGCTGGCCTGTCTGCTCATAAGCTTCGCCTCGCTCTTCGTCGCCGTCACGGCGTTCGCCTGGATGCCGCTCGTGACGCTCGCCCTGCACGCCTTCATGGCCCTGTTCGTCGACCTGGACAGCCCGGAGGCCGGCCGAAATCGCTACCTCGTCGTGCTGGAGGCCCTCGCCTGGGACATAGGCATACAGGGCTTGCTGCAGCCCGTGGCCGCGATCCTGGTGGCGGCCTTGGTCTGTCCGCTGATCTCCTTCCTCATACTCACGGTGGCGGTGATACGCTACGGCGTGGGCATCGTCTGGGACACAGCCATGTTTCATCTGCTCATCAAGAGCCGCGGACGCATACCCGCGAGCGACAGTTTCGTGGTCAAGAGAATAGCCGGGCCGGGCTTGGCATCGGATTACTATTATCAAGTAATTGAGAGAAAAAAATAAAATTTTAACGATGACTCTAAACTCAATTTTTATTAATTTTTCAGATAAAACCAGAGCAAGCGTTGGCTGCGTTCGAGGCGAAACTCGAGCTCGACGAGCTGCACGCGTTTCAGCAGGAGATGGAACGGCTGATCACGCAGCCGCAGCGCGACTTCACGCAGTTCGTCGAGGCCTGCTTCGGTCCCTTCGCCGCCACGCTTGAAAAGACCAAGGAGCCCTACAAGTCGCTCGAGAAGGAGGCCAAAGATCTCGTGTCGGCGCTGCACGAGAAGCTGGATCGACGCCGCAAGGATCTGCAGTCGGGCCTGGGCGTCTCGGTGCGCAGCAAGATCAAGCTGTCCACCTACGATCTCAAGGTGGCCATACAGCAGGGCGCCATGATGCTCGAGCGATTCTATCCGCGGCACGTGTTCGCTCGCATGCAAGCCCACAGCAACGAGGACGACTTCTGGGAGAGCAAGGGTCTGGGGCCCTCGGACTGGGCCGGCCTCGCGGGCCTCATGTACGCCGACATATTCAGTCTGGATTTCCTGCAGCCTCTCGACGAGGTCGACACCAAGTTCAAGCTCGAGCCCCATCCGGCCGTGGATCTGCAGAGATACACGGACATGGTGCAGAACACCGAGCTCGGCGGTGGCGTGAACGGTCCCGATCTGTTGGGAGCGATTTACGCGCCGAGAGGCAACATACAGGTTCACAGTCCGCATCTGTCCATTACTACGTTCCATCCGCGAGCTCATCCTCCGAGCAGTCACAGAAAGCACGACAAGCGAAAGTATGTTCTTATTTGTCTTAATAACGTTGGACGTTTGATTAATAATTTTATGTAATATCCTCACAGCGACACGATCAGTCAACTTACACAAACGCGTTTCCGTCGTCGCACGATACTCGGCACGAACACGGGCAGCAGTCATCACGGGGGCCGCGACGGTGGCCGCTGGCAGCCCTGGAAACGCCACCAGAGGCCCTACACCGCCGACAAGCTGGAGATCCCGCTGCCCATACCGCATCCGGCCTACATCGCCGTGACGATTTACAATCGCGACACCGAGGATCCGATCGCCCTGGACTCGGACATCTGCGAGCACATCTTGCGCTCGATCGAGGACGCCTCGGGCGAGATGGCTCTGGACGGTGGTGTCTTGGCCGGCAGATATCACGGCGCGGACTCGAGCTTCGACTCGGTGGCCTCGCAATCGTCCATGTCCATCGATACGGCTCTGGACAAAGTGAGTAGTAGTCTTCTGCCCAAAAGCGCAATCCGTTGCCAATATAAGGAGCTTTGTCTGACGAGCGCAAATTGGCTCTTACAGATCGACGAGGGCCAATCGCAGGGTAGAGCGGCGGCGACGGCGGATGCCGACAACGAGAAAGAGACAGAAACGTATCATTGGACGCTGTCCAACTGGGGCGGCGGCATGGCACGGCGTCGCAATAACTCAGGCTCGGTCAAGGTCGATCTGGCCTCGCCCGAGGACGTGACTCTGGATACCGACAGTACGCGCGTCATGTTCAGCAATTACGGCACGACCGTCTAGTTTATTAAGTCTTAGTTTATTCGTGACTCGATTTATGAATTCAATAACTTTTGAAAAATCGCCTAATCTAAAGCGGCTCTCTTTGTATCTCTTGGAATGTCTGACAAAAAAGTTTTGATTCTTCCAACGATTAGCAGCTAATAATAATGTGAGAGAGGGTAAATAATCCGTATAAAAAAGGTAAACGTTCAAAACTTTTTTTCCAACCTCGGATCATTCAGACAATATTCGAACGGAATGGCTTTGTGTATCATACGCGCGTATTGTTTGTGAAATTGTATATATACATTTATATTCTATAAATTCATGATTGTTAATGGACTTGTGTTACATGTATGATTTTATTATTGATTTTTTTTTTAAAGCGTGTCTAATGTAGCGTCTAATAATAGCGCAATATGACAAAGAAATATGACAAAACAACTGACATATTGCTCTCATGCACGTTTATCTGTTATTATAGACCCGAATTCTTGTATTTTTATTGTATTGTCGGTACCACACTAACAATGTGCTGTTTATATGATACGTTTGATACAATAATTATTTGTAAAAGTATTCGTATGAAGTTAAGGAAATGTAGTATAAATCGTTGTAATCTAAATTTAAATATGTGGTTTTGAGTTCAAGTCTGACATACTTTGCCTTGGTCAAACAATTCAAAGTTTATTTTTCTTTAGAAGATCTCATGTATGTTTTTTTTTTGTAAAATCAATTTCTTTTTTACAAAAATATATTCTACACTTTTTTGAGTTTGTACAACTTGAATTTACTACTCGAATTTATTTTCTATATAATTTTGTCGATATGCAGAATCGAAAAAAGGATAGATCATAATATAGGTTGTTAAACAAGACTTATTATTGCATGTTTTGCTTTGTAAATTTTAACGTAAGACTAACCATAAGTCGCTTTGCCTATAAATTTTGCCATCGTTTGAAAATGATTGAGTGAATGAACGCAATTGTAGTTGAAATAAGTGGCTCCTATTAATACTTGATCAGAGTTTTGATACGTATTATGTCGAAGAGTAATCAATCATTGTGAAATAAAAAATGAAGTCATAAATATCTACATCGCACGATAGAACGAATTTATAGACAAAAAGTCAAAACTCATACTCGATAGTTGGTTATCGGCTAGTTATTAAGTTTGTCGACCGTGTATTTGATAATATGCGTGAAAGATTGAGTCGCATTTTATAATTAATCTTCGTACTGACAATGTTCATGCTCTTGAATTGCAAATTTTAACTTTTGTACAGTTTTATAAAGATGCTGCTGAATGCGTGATACTCAGTGAGTACATGGAGACGAAAGCAAAGGGGAAATAATATAGCATATGGAAGAGGCTCTGGAATAGTTGAAAAATATTTAGCGTCATTCACACATCTGTATTGATATCATTATATCAAGTATAAAATATTGTTGAATCTGTGCCGTTTTTAATAACATTTAAACGTATTATTCATGAAAACAAATGTACATTTTATCCAACCGATAAATTCCATCCAAGAATCAAACTACTCGCCCCAAAAGTTATGCATTTACGAGATTATAGAGACACCAAACTAAAGCATATCAACACTTCTCAACGAATGATGTTGGACGGCTATAAAAGTAACTGATACAAAGAATTAATATTAAACTGCGCAATAATGTTACAAATTTTTAAGATATAAAAAATTAGTAAGTATTCAAGTACGATGCAAAAATTATTGTATGAATAATTGCGCTTGCAATGATTTGTGCTAAACTTGATTAGCTGTTTGAAAATACTTTAAAAATTAACAAATCGCAATGCTCAAAAAATACATAATTTTAACAATAACGAATTAGCTCAAACGATTGTTTCTTTCAATGTGCTTCGATCCGTTTGCCAAATTATCGCACACATAATTTGTTGCATTGCGATGATGAACTTTAGTTCACACAATTGTTTCACCGAAATAAAATATAACAAACTATAGTTACAAAAATAATCAAACCAAAGAGATTATATGGGAAAAAAACATTGAGAAATATCGTACAATTATATAATATGACGTTTAACGAATCAAAATTATATATCGAATCTATAACAGAATTATAAACAGACACAATATAGCCTATCGATAGCAACAAAATGGTCTAGTTAAAGTTCATTGATAAAAACGAATTAAAGGATTTTTAATAGTCAAATTAACGAGAGTATAAAATGTACCTTAATAAAAAAGTCTAGTAATCCACGTTGAACGATTTCATTTTTAAAAATGGAGAAAAAAGAAAATATCGAGTGTTCAGTTCTCCGATTGACAATTGTAAATTCGATCATTGAAGGTTCTCAAAAAATTACAAATCGCGTGCTTCTTACAGCAACTATATTACAAACGATATAATGCATTTTTATTAAAAACAAGTCTCATTGAATTATAATCAGTCTTTCAAGTGCGTCGTCGTACGAGGAGTGCATATAATAATAATTAATAATAAATATACTCAACGATATAACGGTGTGGTGTATGTTACAAAAAGATCGTCAACAGTTTTTCAACGACATAACATCAACAACAAAAAATTGTGTGTATGTGTACACATCCGATCAATATTTGGGTGTTGTATACCGATTTAAACGTGATCGAATAAGTAAAGGAAAACAAAGAAAAAAACAACTTCGATCTTGTCATTGATTATTCCTGCCTACGATATTCATTCACGAGTGAATGGTCTGAATGTCGACGTTGTGCACCTCGGTGTACAGAGCGAACAGCGTGTGCAGCGACTCGATCCTCTGATCGCCGTACACGGGTATGTCGAGCAAGGCGCAAATCACGTCGATGAGTTTCAACAGGTCGCAGTCGAGGCCCAGCAAGCCCGGCGGCTGTTGGCCCATGCGCCAGAGCTTGGCCTCGATCTGCGGCGGCCAGGGCTGCAGCAGCTGGTCCACGTCGGGGAAACGATTCCTCAGCTGCACCGCGGGCGGATGGGCTCGACTCCTGTGCAGCTGGCCCATGTCCTCGATCCACTTGTCGATCAGTCGGCCCTGGCGCGGAGCGTCCTCGAGCCTCTTGACCACCGCGGCGGGGGCTTTGCCGGCGTTCGTGGCGCTGTTGCGATCGCGACTGCGCAGCTGAAGCTGCAGCACCGCCGGCTCGGACTGCTCCGAGGCGGGCTCGTCGAGGACGACGAGGCCCAGGCGATCGGCCAGGCCGTCGGGCCGCGGGATCTTGAGGAAGGCGTCGATGTCGCCCACGGCGGGTATGTAGTCGGGTATGAAGGGCGCCAGCTTGTACTGGAGCTCGATCTTCTGCGGCGCGTAGCGCGAGATGTTCTGGAAGAGCTCCTTGACCTCGGCGCTGACGTCCAGGTCCTCGAACTGCTTCGAGTCGTAGAAGTCGATCATCTTCATGCGCGTGAACTTCTGGGCGTCCTCGTCCTCGCTGTCCTCGCTGTCGGACGTTTCGCTGTCGAGGGTCATGGATTTGTTGAAACTCTCCTCGGGTACCGAGTACCTTTTGGAAATAAACGCGATCGTCGTTACGGATTTACAGTTTTTGTTATTTTTTTGTTTTATCTTTTCATCGTACCTTCTGAAATTGTTGCTGGGCGATCGCACATCGGAATCGGCTATCGCAGCGGCTGCCTCTTCTCTCTCGTCCGGACTCTTGTCCACAGCTGCTACCGCCGCTGCTGCTGCTGCTTTTCCTACTTTCGACGGTTTTCGTTTTATATTGCTGCCACTTTCCTCGCTCATCTCGCTGTCCATTGTTCGTCGATTGTTTTAAAATGTTTTCATTTATCGTCGCAGTTGTTGCTTTTTTACGGAGGAGGGTAAACGTGGGGCGAGTTTCAAACGAACGTCGTGTGCAATGATAATTATCGCGTGTGTTATGGAAGTGTCACCATAGTTACCGTAGGCTCGTAAGGAATGGTAACGTCAAAAAAAAAAGTTCAAAAGTTTTGTGACGATTTCTTTTTTTCTTGGCTTTTTATTTTTTTCGTTATTTGGACTATAAATGCATTTATTACAGGATTTTTACAACAATTTTTTGGTGTGCGGGTACGTATTATTCGTCAATTTTTTTTTTAAATCCCAATCATGATCTTGGTTTGAATAATTATTTTCATGAAACTAGTATTCTGGGTACTTCAAAGAAATTTGGAAAAAACTATTGAGAAAATGTAAGATTACATTTACTACAGAAGATTTTGACTATCGTATCAACTACAAACCCGCTAGCACCCACGCACTCTCCTTTTAACGATCGTCATTTTATTTTTAGAGTGGTAATCGATAGTTTTTTCCCCTTTTTGAAAACTATCTTTTCTTATCTATCGCAGATCTCTTCTTATTTTATGTTATCCTAATTCGTGCAAGCTCTTTTCTAAACATCTTTAATTTTGAGGATCCATTTTTTTCAAGTGCAATTAAGAGATAATGTAGATCGAATTTGTTGATGAAAGTTTTGTTTTTCACCCATACGTTTTGAAAAATTTCACCTATCTTTAAGTTCATGATACCCGGATTTGTGAAAGTTATTTCCTACTTTTGACAATCTAATTTTAGAAGTCGAACTCGCAGAAGTGATATCAAAAATAATCCGGAACTGAGTTCATTGACCTCAAAATTATTTCTCCCATTTTTCGCTTATATCTTTTATTTTATGTTATCCGGGTTGGTGAAAGCTCATTTCATAGTTTAGGCAGATGTACATAATCGAGCTTTGTTGAAAAAATCTTTGACTATGGGGGTAACGTCAAAATATATAGGCTTGTCAAAACATGTACTTTGCGCAATCGCTTCGAAGAATCGCGACGAGTTTCTTCGATCATATAGCGCGATACTCAGCGAACGAAGCCAATTGTGTCGAAAACATATATACCTCGTCGCTCATCATGTTCTCCAGTTTAAATTTTAACACACTATACCCATAGATATTTTTAGATATTTCGCTCGTACACCTCTTCGCTAAGCACGTTCTCCTGCTAATGATTAGAACACAACGAGTCCAGAAAGATATTGTTAGATTACATCGATAAAAGTTGTCTTATCGAATTAATTATTTTTCCAATTAAAAATAAGAATGATTTATTTTTTCCTCGACATCATTTATCTTAATTTTTTTTTTTAAGTAATCAAGCTTGAGAAACTTATTTTATATAACGTTTTCATTGATTGATCAACTTTTTAAATAACAAAAAGATTACTCTCATACTCAAAATCTGATTGTAAATGAATTTAGTAATATAATAATAAGAGAAAACAATTGTTTTTATCAATATTCATTCAACATTCAATTTCGAATTTCAAATCAATGTTCAATTGATTTAGTGATAAATTAATAATAGCTTTCTGAAATTGTTATTAATAATTTAGAAAAGATGTAAAACTATGATAATTTATATTTTTGATTATTCGCAAAAAAATAGTTTTCATACTGAAAATCCAAAACGAAAATGGAATAAAATTATATTCTTCTAATGAGAGAAATTCAAATTACGCGCTGCATCGGTAAAATGACCAATTCGTGACGACTGACGAATCTTCAATATCATCAAGCAGTCGTGGAATTGACCTTTTGGCCCGGCCTTTTCGTTGCTAAGTGTGAGTTCTCCAATAATAATTTGATTTTAATAAAAATTTATGAATAACTGATTGTAACTTTTGTTCAGCATTATTTTTATGATACTTTCCCTAATTATATTATGTGTGTATGCATTGTAAAAGTGATCATATGACTACATATTAGAAATATTACACTTTTTCTGTGATTAAGGTTAGATGTACGACTAACATGTGGTGATTATCAACGTGTTTTTTTTTGTGTTTTAGTTAAAGTAACGTCAGAAAGGCAAAATGGCTATTCGTCCAGTTTATAGGCCCACCATCCTCAAAAAGAGGACTAAGAAATTTACCCGTCACCAAAGTGACAGGTATGATAAGTTGAAGGTTGGTCGAACTACGATAACTTTTTTTGGCACCTACATTGGAACACATTTTATCGTTGAATTATTTTACAGAGAAACTGGAGGAAACCCAAGGGTATTGACAACAGAGTCAGACGTAGGTTTAAAGGGCAGTACCTAATGCCAAACATTGGTTATGGTAGCAACAAAAAAACTCGTCATATGCTGCCCACTGGCTTCAGAAAAATGCTGGTACACAACGTCAAGGTAAACTATAGATTCCTTGTATTGAAACTAATTCCGCACACTGGTTTACATTCTATTTACTCATGACTTATGACTCCAAACAATGAATATAGCAGCATAGACAATTTTTTTTAATATAAATAAAATTTTTCTTAATAAAATAATATTTACCCGTGAGCAAAATCTTGATTGAATTAGTACATTAATGAAAAGTTTTCCAACTGATCCAATAGTGTATTTGCTGCAATCATGTTTTGAAATTAAATTTTAATACTTTCGATCATTTACCATTGAGACCTTGAATCTAAATAATTATTCTTATGTTTTATAGGAACTCGAAGTACTGATGATGCAAAACAGAAAATACTGCGCAGAAATTGCTCATGGTGTCAGCAGTAAGAAACGCAAATCAATTGTTGAGCGTGCCCAGCAGCTTTCTATTCGTGTAACGAATGCCAATGCACGCCTCCGCTCTGAGGAGAATGAATAAACTGAACTTTTTTAAAATATACACTGTTAAAAAAAAGTTAATTTCTGTCTCCAATTCAATATCAGCAATCCTTTTCATCTGTATAAAGTGCAACACACTAATGAAACTAAGCAGAAATAACAGTGAGACTATCGTCAAAAGTAGATTTCATTGTGTTGAAAATATGTTTAACATAGATAAAACTTATTATTAAAAAAATTTTCTATCAATTCAATAGTGCTAGACAAAATAAAGTCTTTAAAAAACAGGTTTTCTTGAGGTAGATTTTGACTCAATATTTACTTCTAATAGTTTTAACAGAAAATTGGTACATTGCTAAGTTTACACTTCAGTTCTTTTATTTTTATCTATGATTTCAAGTTACAGTCAAGGTAACATTATTCAATCAAAAGAAAATGGTATTTCTGAGTAATAGTGTCAAAATACATCGTTACTTATACTTTTCATGCACGGTAAATATTTTTTAACATTTAAAATAAAATAAAAGCAATATTGTTAATTATAAGCTTATTGTATAAAGACTGATAATTAATTATACAACATTTATGTTTGTATACACTTTTGTCAATGATAATTGAAAAGCTTGCATGAAGGAATGATTTTAAAGATATCAGCAGCTTGAAGATATAGTTTTCCTGACACTGATTTCTTTCGTACATCTATTATGCATAGGATTAAGATTTATTTTACATGATTTTAATTCATGACACTCGAATGATTTTTAGTATGTTACTTTATGAACTCAAAATTGCTCAATTTTAGATGCATTTATAAATTCAATGATTATGTGAAAATTCAAATTGGTGCAACAATTCATTGTGGTCAGAAATTTGTTTGACTAGATAAAACTTTTTATTAAAAAAATTTCTATAAGACAAAATAAAATCTTTAAAAAACAGGGTATCTGCCATAAACTTGTCCGCTACGCGTTCGTCGCACGTACCAATCTTTGTCAGCTAGTTTCGAGCGTTGTGGGTGATGTGATTTACGCTGATTCTTTATTCTATTGAGCGAGATTTTTCTGCTTGGATCATCGTGCCTATTGTTACTTTCATGGTTCAACGAAGGCCTTGAGTTGGTCATGTTGATCGATTCTAAAGAAGAAAACAACAGTTGAATAATTACGTGGCATCGACGATTCAAATTACAAGTACACAAACAAACCTACGAAATCGAGAAAAGCCTGATAATCGCTCGACGAGTCTACGGTTCTAGGGGTCGATGGCGAATCGCCTGCCTCCTTTCGCGTGAATTTTTGCTTTCTGTAAAAAATAGTTGATCGTTATTTTGCGATAACGATCTCGTCGTTGAGCGCATTACTCACGGCAACTGTTGATCGGTGGTCGGGTCTTGTTCGATCGACGAAATACTTTGGGCATGGTGTCGAGTTTCACCGCTGGATCTGCTCTCGTCTTCGTCGTCGTCGTTGTTCTCTTCGTTTCTCTTGTACCATTTCAAAGTGAAATAGGCGATCGCGACGAGTGCGACGTAAAAGAAAATCACACCGAGCCAATTGGTCGCGGCGGCGGGTTTGTTGTGCAGCCGATTTTCCGGATAACCGTGACTCAGGGAATTTTTCGACCATATCCACGGGAACTCGGAGACCCACTTGAGCAATCGAGAAAATTCATTCGTGGCAAGCATATATAATTTATTTTATATTTTCATTCTTTTGTACATGAGTAATTACCTGATGTAATTTGCGCAAAAAGTACCTGCTCGGCGAGCGATAATTTCCGGCTTCGATTCCCATGACGATATGAGCCGGGCGACACGCGCTCCGCACTAAGCGATCGCCATGTCGATTGTTTCTCGGCTTGACACTTGAATTTTCGGACGCCTGCACCTCATCGTCTCGTGTGCATGCGCTGCACACACACACACACACACTCCGAACGGGATTATAATCTCTCGTAACGAATCTGCAATGTTTACAAACGCACGTTTATATCGTAATTCGGTCGTGTTTGCACGTCCTGAAGTTACGTACGTATCGAGTGCTATGAAAATGAGTGTATAAAAATAGTAGATACACGATTTTTTAATTTATATACTTGCAGTGAAGTGCACAACTATTTAAATTTGCCCCACTAATGTTAGATCTTGATAATTAACGCCCATTGAAAATAATTGTATGGGCTGCGGTTGAGCTTGTAAAGCGATAAAAATCTCCAAAACGAAAAGTGTGTGAAAAAAATATAAATGTTCACAAACACCATATCAGTGAGTTTCAGTTATCTTACAAAAATTAACATTTTTGGTCAAATTCCTTCATTAATTCTAACTGGGCCGCTGGACGGCGATTGTATTTGTTTTTCAAGTTCTTGAAAGAGGCAAGGCAGGTTGAAGGCTACTTATACGATATTACGTGAACCGACCTATACTCGTTCTGACGATGAAAATGTTTTGTTTACACTCAAATAGATTGAACTCTGGTGAAGCATTCAATGGTTGTTTCAAATATTTTTCTAGAAACAAATATTGTTGTGATTATTTTCTTGATAAAAATGCTGGTTATTAATAACAACCCTTTTGACTAAAAAGTGACCGTTTGGAGTGTTTTAAAATACAATATTATTAATTGACTTATTCTTGATAATTTTGTTATTGAAATTCAAAAATGAATCGCATTTTAAATGATCTAATAGTGGAAATTAAATACCACTTTTCCACTTTACCTCTTTACCATTAATTACCACTTTAAGATTCCACCACTAGATGGAGAGTAGCTTTATCTCTAAATCTGCAAGTGGCAAAGTCAAAATATTTGTATAAGTCGAAGCACTGATCATGTAATAATCAAGAAATCCATTCTTATGTGTAAGAGTTTTGAAAATTTCACTCTGGACATTTATTCTTAAACGAAATAAAAAGAAAAAAAAGACCATCGCCAATGCCATTGTTAATTTTATACGGAAGTATTATAAGGCGCTCGCGAATGAGGTGATGCCGAATGCACGAGAGATGCCTCATTAGGTAGTGAAATGTTGAGGCGCAATCGCATATTAACCGGAAACACGTCGAGTGTTTAGTGTACTTTCAACAAACAGCTAGAGAAGATCTACCTGCGTAGGTTTTTTTCTCTCTTCTTTTTCGAGGCTTCAGTTGGTTTGGAGATTTTATTGTTGTTTCTTACGAGATGGGGAGAATTGTGACTTTTGGTACGTTTTTAATTTTTTACGGTAAAAAGACATTTTCTTTCCACACCAAATTTTCCCTATCAAATAAACAAAAAAATGGAATGTAAACATTTCTTGACGAGCAGTTCGCTGACCCAAGTTTTTATTCTTTTAAATGTTATTATATTTTACTTAAAAATCCATGAATATCGCAGTTTGTAGGAGTAGCTGCCGTCACGCACAAAGACGCAATTTCAGCAGCTCGACCAAACTCGATGCCACCGGCCTTCCGAATTGCGCGCACAGCCCAACGCCGTACAAGGTATTGTATATCTCCTCTTCGAGTTTCGAACAAAAAATTTTTTTTTGATAGATAAAAAATTAAAATGAAAATTCAACGCCCGCAGGGTGCAAGCTACGAGCGAGTGATGAAGTCGCGCGAGTGCATGGTGACGACGGCCCAGAAGCCGTTCTACAAGAAGCCGCTGCTGCTGCACGAGGGCCGCGGCCAGTGGCTCTGGGACCACGAGGGCAAGCGCTACCTCGATATGTTCGCCGGCATAGCCACCGTCTCGGTGGGCCACTGCCATCCGTGAGTAAAGAGCCAAGTACCAATTTTTTTTTTTTTTTTTTTTTTTTTTTACGCAACTGTACTCGTTGTCGCGTAGAAAAGTCGTCGAAGCGGCCACCCAACAGTCCCGTCAACTGGGCCACACCACCGCTGTCTATCTGCACCCTCGCTACCACGAGTACGCCGAAAAGCTGACGAGCAAACTTCCGGCGCCGCTGAGCTGCGTCTACCTGACCAACAGCGGCAGCGAAGCCACCGAACTGGCGATACAGCTGGCCCGCATCTACACGGGCCGCCACGAGGTCGTCTCGCTGCGCAACTGCTACCACGGCGGCACCGGGGTCGCTGCCTCGGCGACCTGCATGAGCGTCTACAAGTACCCGATTATGCCGCTGCCCGGCCACGTGCACGTCGCGAATCCGGACGTGTACAGAGGACCCTGGGGAGGTCGCAACTGCCGCGACAGTCCCTGCCAGGCGAATCGCGACTGCGCCTGCACGGGTAACAAGTGCGAGGCCGAGGATCGCTACCTCGAGCAGTTCGACGAGCTCTACCGGACGCAGCTGCCATCGGACGGCAAGATAGCCGCGTTCACCGCCGAGAGCATCCAGGGCGTGGGTGGCACGGTTCAGTTCCCCCGTAACTATCTGCGCCGCGTGTACGAGGCGGTGCGCTCGAGGGGCGGCCTGTGCATCGCCGACGAGGTGCAGACGGGCTTCGCGCGCACCGGCACGCACTTCTGGGGCTTCGAGGCCCACGGCGTCCGACCCGACATCGTCGTCATGGCCAAGGGCATCGGCAACGGCTATCCGCTCGGGGCGGTGGTCACGACGCCCGAGGTGTCGCAGGCCCTCGCCCGGGCCAGCTACTTCAACACCTACGCCGGCAATCCGGTGGCTTGCGCCGTTGGCAACGCCGTCGTTCAAGTAAGTTGATCCGCAGCGAAGAAGTCAGAAGAAGAATTCATGCGCGATGTTGCGTCGCGGTGACCTCTCGCGCGGGGGTCATTATTCATGAGATTCGACGATTCATAATTAAGCGCGCGGATCGCGTGCGAGCGAGCGTCCGCCCGCTCTCATCTAATCGTCATTATGCGCTTTGCGATACGCCGCTTAGCGAAAACAAAAAAAAAATAAATATTTTCTATCGTTTTATAGGTCATCGAGGAAGAGTCGCTTCAGGAAAATGCCCATACCGTGGGTACGCAACTGCTCCACGACCTGGCCTCGCTGATGCGAGAATTCCCCGAGACGATCGGCGACGTGCGCGGCAAGGGTCTGATGATCGGCGTCGAGCTCGTCGCGGATCCGGAAACCCGCGAATTTCTCCCGGCCGACGACGTCGCCTTCATCTTCGAGGACATCAAGGACAGCGGAGTACTCATCGGTCGCGGCGGCGTCAAGGGCAACGTGTTCCGTTTCAAACCGCCGCTCTGCGTCACCAAAGAGGACGCCACCTGCTCCGTGGACGTTTTTCGCGCCGCTTTGAAGAAGTTCCGAGCTCAGAGGAAACGATAAATCGATTATTATCATATTGTTGATGCCGATCTTTGTATAAATTATTGATATCCGTACGCGAATCGAAGAAAATTAGATCGATTAATGATTCACGAGGAAATATTTTATTGTTATGGAATCGATAATTGGAAAAAAAGATGAATTTTTAATAGACATTGTTTTGAAGTAATATCATCTCGAAATTCTTGAAAATTTCAAAAACTTGCGGTTAATCTTGTTGTTCCGGAAAATTCTATGGCGAACAAGTTCTAGATTACTTAAAACTTTAATCTAAATAACATATGTATTGATTTTTAATTTAATATAAATACATTTTTATCAAAAACTGAACTCGATTACAATTATTTTATGCGAGAGTATAACTTAAAATAACCCCTAATACGTCAAGTAAAGAAAAGTTTTTCGCAAAATTTAATGTCTCGGCTCGAAATAGAAATTTTTTATCAGCCTTGGCTGATACTTACACTCTGCTCTGTACTACTTGTGCTCTGAAACTTTCTTTCGTTTCCTAATTTAATATTATTTTCTTTACATGTATGCATGCTTACTATATTCAAGTATGGCAAAAAACTACAGTCGCTACACCTATTTATTAATGCAGAAGAAAACTGAAAGTGAGCAGTAAAACACTATCTGGTAATTGAGTGATTTTCGAGTTGATGCAACAAATACTTTTTTTCGTTACGTTACATTACTCAGTATAAACAATTTTTTCATAAACTTAATAAAATAAGTTGTATGATCAAAATTGTAGGTTTCTACAGTCATCTTTATCATGCGCGAGGCCAAACAAAGTATTGTAAAGTAAACTTACATTTCATATATAAAATCATTTTAAAATTACAATTAAATTAATTGTTGTACAAGTAATTGTATAATGTTTTCTTAAACTCGAATAGATGCACATTCTATTGCAATTGGTATTCGCTCTATCAAATATTGGTTTAGAAAATTTGTCACAGTTTCGTGCATGACCGTCTTTCAGGGTTATAAGTAATTATTTGAAGATTTAATTAAGAATTAAACATTCATTCTCAATTAAAACTGCGTTTAGGTAAAAATTAAAAATCAATTCTTTGAAATCAATTCAATTCAACTGTAAAACCATTAAATTTTTCGGAACGCTCATGTATCGACTCCTAGGATCCCACGTTACCCCCAATATTTGAACTTCGATCGGGTCATGGATTTCAATCCAACTAAGATTTAATTAATATTATAATTAAAAACTAATTCTTAATTATAACTAGTTTTTAAGGAGGCTGTAGCGAAAATGAAAAAAACTTTAGATCGAAGTGAAATTTTAACCAATGATAATTTATGAAATTATAAGAATTTAGGTAAAGAAAAATTTGGGGTTTACATGCAAACTTGGGACATAATGAGATTCAAAGTTTTGACCATTTAACATTAGATCTTATGGGAAGTGGCAGTTTTTAATGTACTGTAAGCTCAAATCACTTTACAAGTTAATAAAATTAATATGTTACAGGAAATCTTCTTTGCTTTCGAATAATATAATTATAAATGGGTATTTCCAACCACTTTCAAAAGATATTAAGAATCCAACACATTTCCCCTTTGTTCTTCCATGCTAACGCTGTGCGCTGCGTAACGCATATAGCCTTGCGCATACAGCGTTTTAATACGGAACCACCTTGCATCGGTACAGCCTCCTTAATTATTAATTGAATTCGATTTCAATAAAGAATTAAATTTTAATTATTCAACCAAGACAGTGTCTTACAATAATATCCATGGTAAAAAAATCATGAGATATGATCAACTTACACCAGTGGCCACTACAGTTGCAGAATGCCAAGCAAAGTCCATTAAATAAAATCTTCAACGATTATTAGTCCGGGCGCTGGTGGCATTTGAGTGAACTTGCAAGATCCGCTCGGCGAGTTGACGGATTTCTATGTTTTTTGGATCGCTTAAACCGAATTTGAATGTCGCCAGGCCGAATTCCTGGTCAATTTTTTGTTATAAACAAATTAATTGTTTAAAGAGACATATCTTGAAAAATATTGAAGATCGATCAAAACAATTTGTTTTTATTTTATTCGTCTTTAAATACCAAAGAAATTCCATTAAATTAATTGAAAATCCGTCTACTAGAAAAAAAGTTGTGCAATAATTAGTGTAAAATACGTCTTTTTTCACCTTTCAACCTTTGTAACTTTGCTCGTATTAGTGCTATCGAGCTCATTGACGTCTCATTTTAAAGGTAATAACCTACAGAATGATGTAACATAATTTTTATGTTAGTCAAATTGTTTATAATGCAGTCTGTAGACGTGTATAAACGTAATTTTATGGCTCTGACGTACTTTCCATTTGTTTATACGCGTTTTTCGCTGAGATAAATTAGTAAAGTAAAGTGGCAACTCAGTTCAAACGAAAGTACATCAAAAAACAAAAATTTCAAGGGGTTTAGAAAGGAAATCGGTCCAGTAGATGCCAAGTTACAGCCTTCTAAGTTTGAGCGTAGAAACGACCGAGCGCTTAGGGCGTGCCCACTGAGGCAACATGAACTCATCAACCAAGCTAAAATTTTAAAACTTTTGATCGTTGCATTTTTTCGTTTAAGTACTTCTATATCGATATAGAAAATAACAACGATTTCTTTATAATGTGGAAAATACTCTTAAAAATGGGCCCTAAGGACCATGAGATCAAACTAAGCACAAGGAGCTTCAGTATTGGGTACCGAGAAACCCCAAAAAATTTTTGGAGCAAATCCATGACCTTGAGGTGGGGTGGTCTCCTTGAAGTGTAATCGATTTATCTAAACACAATAGAAAGTGAAATAGGCTTGTGATAGTATGACCTAGTGCTAAAAAATTAGTAGTGGCAAGGGTTTCGCTTTAACATATTAGTTATAAAAAAATTTTGAGTGATATTTCCTATAGAACATGTTGCAATATTGGCCGATTATTCCACAAAAAACGATTGGAGAAAGGGATCTAAAAGAGTTATCAGAAACAGATGTATCAGATCTTGAAAAATGTGCAAAGGAAATTTTTCCCATGGCCGTACTTTTTATGAAGGTTTCGTTCATCTGGCCTTTTTGGACTGGCATGAAAAAGTATGGAGTATGGGTATGCGTGGTGTTACTCGTTTTAATTTTTATATCTACAGTAATTACAAAAAATATCGTATTACACATATGATGAACATCTAAGTTAGGATATACATAAAACTGTTGTTATTTACAGTTTTTTTATGTATCTCGAGTGAAAAGCAACAACGAACTAGACATGAACTTAGCAACGGAATTATGTCTTCGAACTGTTGTTGTATGTTGCATAATTTTCGGCTCTTACTTCATAAATTCAAAAAAACAAGACCTGTCAATGGTAAAATTAACCACATACTATTTTTAATGCATTTGAGCATGTGTTTTTAATTTCATCTTTATTGTCTTGAAACGTATAAAAGATGATAGTTATGATGATAAGAAATTGGCATCAATGTAGTTCCGAAGAAAGAAAATTTCTGCAAAATTATATTAATATAGCTAATTTTGCCACTTATATAACCACAGGTGAATATTCTAATTATTGAATAAAATGAATTTTATTAAACAAAGAATATAATTATTTTCCAGGTTTTATATGTTGCTCCTACACTATGTATTGCTTTATAATTCCAGTATTATGGCCAATTACAACAAATTTTATTTTATCAGGAAATCATACACATAATAAAAAGTTATCGGTTTACTTTGAATTGTTCATAGACGAGGAAAAACATTTTTACTATTATTTTGTTATTATAGTAATTTCATGTTGTTTGATACAATTAGGTGTTTCGAGTTTAGAAATAATTTGGATTTTGTCAGCCACCTACATTGTAGCCAAATTTAGATTTATGGGGTATTTCATTATCAATTTTTTTTATTCATTATCAATGAATATAAAAGTAAAATCAAGTATTTTAAATTAGATTCAAGTTGAAACAGATTTTGAATTTGTCTGAAGCAGAGGATTTTTTGGAAATAGGTGATGAAATTTTTAAACACGTCTCTCAACTCGTTCAACTACACCAATATTGTATCTAGTTAAGTGATAAAATTAAGAACTTTTTAGTAAATAATAATTCATTTTTTTCACTATCAGTTACTGTGATGTATTGAATTCATTTATAAGTTCAATTTTAATCCTTGGAACATTGGATGTGATTATCGCCTACAGCATTTCTGGCTACGTAGTACGATTTCGCTTATTTTTATTTATCATTGAATCTAGACAGTTTATTACCCGTGACTCAATTTTTTTTCACAGATTGCAATGGATTATAAAAGCGATATAAATATGGCTCTAAAAATGTTCTTCGTATACATCTTGTGCTCAGAGTATGTACTTGTGACCAGCCTTCCCTCGCAGATGATTTCTAATGCTAGCAGTGATATTGTTGAAAAGTGGTAAGCATGTAGGTTTTTCGTGAAACATTGCAATCATTTTGTTTATGATAAATTCTGGTTGTTTTGGTCCAAAATAGTTATTCCACTGATTGGTATAAATACTCAATAAAAACCAGAAGAATGATTCAGCTTATAATGATAAGGTCCAGTAGATCTTCCTGTTTGAAAATTGGACCAAACAAAAATTCTAATTATGAAACGAGGGGGAAGGTAGCTAAGAATGCTAGTAGACAACTATTGTCTCAACCATTACCTATCCATGCAATTATTATATATTCTAGCCTATAAAATTATCTTTGTCTTACGTTGTTTCGCTGATGTCTATCATTGAACATTAAATTGTATTCTTTGAAATTTGATTCTACACAATTTTTAGAGTGGCAAGATAATGTTAGACTAATGGTAAGTAATAATGTTACCTGTTTGCTATTGAACATCTAAATTAACAAATGAACTGATTTTAACATGAATGTAGAGTTGTGATAGTGTGTATTTCGTCTGGGCATTTGAAATATTAAAATAGTTCAAGTAATTTTTCATTCGTATTTTGAACTTTTACTTTACTAATTTTATTGGTAATTTAATAATTGTCAATAAAGCATGGTTTTTCTCTAATTTTCCTTGATTCTTGATACATATGATGCTCAATACTGAAGTCTGTTTGTCTGCCGATGACCAAAATTTAAGATTGAGGAGCTATGGATCAGTCGATACATAGGATACATATAGATAGAAAATAGACGTTTATCCCGGAAGTGGGGGGTAGGAGGGGGAGGGGGGTCCAAAATTTTGGTTTTGACACTTTTTTTCCATGTACTACAACATACCAAAAGCGCTTCAAAATCGGCGACATACGTGCGCATGGTTTTGTAAAAAAGTATTATTTTGACCCATATATAACGCGTAATCCGCGAGTGAGTCTGTTACGCTCGAATGCAGTAATAATGTAAGATGATGCAGCTTTGATCTTTGCGCGCTGCGTCAACCGATGTCGTGACAAGCGGATCGCAACCGATTTTTTGAAACACTCGTGTGTAATAGTCTCATAATGAATTAGTGATCATTTGTAACTCACCAATAGCATTTTTTTACAACTTGCGCGGCGACCATATTAGTGTGTCAAGTCCGAAATTATCAAACATTTTTCAGAATTTTTTCAATCTTAAACCTTATCCGGAGACATACTGCTGAGGTCAAAAGTAACTAGTGATCTATTTATATTTTTCACGACCATGTCCGAAATTTTATATTATCAAGGCTAAACATTCCTCTAGCCTACGCTTACCTCTTCCATTTCGAGACAGCTTCTCAATAATAAAGGTGCACGAAAAAATAGCTTAATATTTTAAAAATAAAGCTCTCGAAAAATTAGAACAACAAAATGTAAATTTTGTTTTTCTTCAGCGGCGATATAAAACTACGCTTGATAATGCAAATCAGAAAAGATTCCGGCCCTATTACAATAGCTTAGCGGGATTTGAATATTCATTGTCAGAAAGATGCAGCAGCGGCGATTATTGAGCTTTGATCTATGATAAAGATAGGAACAAGAAGAGGTTGCGAAGTTCGAAACTTCCCGTCAATTGGAAATAGATTATGCATCAAATTAGTCTCTTTTTCACTTGCATGCGACTATATAAAGGTGTCAGATAATTGGATAGCTTCGAGTGCAAATATCTCCAACTCACTGGCGATAGTTTGTATTTTTACATTCAAGTGCGGTTGTCTTTGGACAATCTCTTCTTTATTAATAATTGTTGAAACCTTGATATCAATTTAAAAAATTTTTATGGTGATACAAAACGTATCATTTTGATTCGGTGCAAGATTACACAAAGTCTAAAATCAATTTTTTTTATTACTACCTCTTATTGCTATCAAAATGAGTTGCGGAGAAAAAATTGTAATAAGTGGGATTGCTGGAAGATTTCCAGAATCCGACAATGTGCTTGAATTGCAACGTAACATCAATGAAAATATCAACTTCATCACAAAAGATGAACGACGTTGGAGAGATGGTGAGTTAATATATTCATAATGTTATACTTTTTAGGCTGTTATGAAATAATATAACGTAACTTCAGAATTCAGACAGTTTAGAAAATAATAGTTCATATAATTGCCATTATGCTTAATAACTTGATTCAGATCTTCTATTTAACTCGACCTTATCTAATTTGTTTCTTTTTAAAGATTTGCCTGTTACCATTGAATATATTATACTATTATGTTCACGTAAGAATATTTTCTGCTTCTTTATACAATTTGTAAATAGACTATCCAGATGTGCCTTTTGGAGTTGGAAAAATTAACAATATCACCAAGTTCGATGCTACATTTTTTGGCATCCTACCAAAACAGGCCAACTCTATGGACCCTAAGAGCAGGATGATGTTAGAACACACTTTTGAAGCTCTAATGGATGCTGGTATCAATCCAAGTGAATTAAAAGGAACGAACACCGGTGTATTTATGGGTTCGATCTACATAGAAAATGAACTTTTAGATGTACGTATACATTGTTTCATCATTTATTACAATAGTGAACAGAAGTAGTGTATGTAAGATTTTGATAAACAAATTACTTTAGTCCAGATACACGTTTAAACAAACGATTTTTTCAGTGATCGTTAGTGTTAAACTCAAATGATACTGGTAACTCGATATTGACTCGAACCTATTCATAATATATATTTTATAAAGATTTAAAAAATATAAAATTTCCAAGAAATCAAAAAAATTAGTCAGGTACCTTTAAATCGACCTACAGGGCGCAAAAATTATCGTAAAGAGCTCTATTTTTTTTTAAAATTACTCGTTGAAAAGAGTACTTTGCAGTGGTGTGTGTTAGATTTCAATAAAAAAATTACTGTGGTACTGGTACACGTTCAAACAATCAATTTTTTTCAGTAATTTGTAGTGTTGCACTCAAATACTACAGGTAACTCGATATTGACTCAAATATAGGATTTAAAGAGGACAAAATTTCCAAGAAATCAAAAAAAATATCATGTCGATACTATAAATATAGCCCAAGATAGAAGCATTTGAAAATCGACAAAATTTCGATAAAATTTTTTGTTGCGATAATTTTGTTGCCGAGTGTATAATCGATCTACCCCGTGGATAACAATCATTTCTCAATGAATGATATTTTAGTGTAAAGAAATTTAAAATTTTTCGAACAAAAAGTACAGCGCGCTTATGAGCGAATACATCATACTAAACAGTTACGTATTTATTGTATAATTAGAAGGAAATGCAAGATTCTTCTTGCATGCTGGCCAATCGCATATCTTATTGGTTGGACGTCAAGGGGCCAAGTTTTACCCTCGATACTGGCTGCAGTTCAAGTATAACTGCCTTAGAGAGAGCTTTTCGTTCTATCAAGGATGGGACATGCGATACTGCAATTATAGGGGCATGTAATCTTTGTCGACATTGGATTTCCTCGAAACATTATATGGAATTGGGTGAATAATTTTTCAATATAAATATTGATTTTTTTACATTTCATAAAATTAATTCACATGTTAAATTTCAGGAGCTCTGTCGAGAGATTGCCGATGCAAAACCTTTGACGAATCAGCCGACGGCTACGTGCGCAGCGAGGCCGTAGTCGCTATGATTTTGCAAAAAGCAAGTGTCGCTCGTCGTTGTTACGCCACGATCGTCAATGCCAAAATAAGTCACGATGGTTATAAAACTGAGGGCCTGGTCCATCCGTCCGTGAAGGGACAGTTCGATCTTATGCGTAAGTGTTACGAAGAAGTCAATGCCGATCCCGGAATGACAGCTTTCGTCGAGGCTCATGGAACAGGGACTCGTGTCGGCGACAATGTGGAGGCAGCTGCTATAGATATATTTTTTGGTACTTCTCGTCAAAAACTTCCATACAGTAAACCCGTACTCGTTGGTTCGATCAAATCCATCGTTGGACACAGCGAAATTGCAAGTGGTCTTGTCGGTCTGGTGAAAATAATCATGATGATGGAGACAGGCTTAATGATTCCAAATTGGAATTTTAAAACTCATTCGAAGGAGCATCATGGTTTCATAGAGAATCGTATGAAACTCGCCACGGAAACGCAACCATTACCAGACGGTTACGTAAGCATCAGCTCTTTTGGCTTGGGTGGTGCTTGCGCTCATGCAATATTAATTGCTAATCCGAAGAAGAAACTCGATGAATCACATATTGACAATTTACCCCGACTAGTATTCGCTTCTGGGGTAACTGAAGATTCTGTGCAATTTTTCTTGAAACAGGTAAATATTATATAGCGGGTGAAATCATAAGATTTTAAAAAAACATTGTTTTTGGCAGTTGGAAATTCAACCGATCGATCACGATCAAATTCGTTTGCTTCATCAGATTTATTCTCGAAATATTCATAACCATTATTTTAGAGGTTTTACAATCTTACCAACAACTGGAATTGGCCATAATTCCAAGATCACGACCCAAAAATACGTGGATTCCAAAAAAAAAATATGCTTTGTATTTTCTGGAATGGGATCTCAGTTTCGTGGAATGGGTAATAATAGACCGTAATATGGTTATAAAAGTATTACATAAATAACTTTTCACAGGATCACAATTATTGCGCATACCAACTTTTAGAGAGTCCATGGCAAAAATTCACGAAGTTTTAAAAACAAAAAATGTTGACATTTTTGAAATTCTCACTAAAGACCATTTCAATGACGTTATGAATTCTTTTCTGGGCATTACATCTATTCAGGTAATATATAATAAGAGTTCAACCTTGTTTTATAAAATTATAAAATCAAAATATTCTTAAAAATTTCAGATCGGCTTAGTTGACTTATTTGAGGCAATTGGAATAGAACCTAATTACATAATTGGTCTCTCGATGGGAGAAATAGGATGTGCATACGCCGATGGAGCCCTCAGTCTCGAACAAGCTATTCTGTCTGCTTACGCTCGCGGAAAAGCCTCTTTAGATACGAAATTTCCAACTAAAGGAGCTATGGCTGTAGTACATCTTGAATTCGAAAAATTGGCTGTTATGTTACCCCCGGATATCGACGTAGCTTGCTATAATTCACCTGAAAATACCACTATATCTGGACCATCTGAATCAGTAATGGTATTTTGCAAAGAATTAGGGTCTCGTGGTGTCAAAGTTTCAGAATTAAATGGTGTCAACAACATCGCTTATCACAGCAGATACGTTTATCCAATCGAGGATAAATTGTTCGAATTCATGCGCAGTTTTATAACCGAACCAAGAGTACGAAGTGAGAAATGGTGGAGTTCAGCCATTCCGAAAGAAAAATGGGATACGAAACTCGCTCGAACAGCTTCAGCTGAGTATTTTACTCAAAACTGTTTGAGTCCCGTACTATTTAAGCAAACTGCAAGTTTGATTCCAGATAATACTTATGTGATAGAAATTGCACCCAGAGCCTTCATGAGCAGCATCTTGAAAGAAGCAATGAAGCCAAATGTTACTATTTTAGGTTTGCAACGTGGTTCGGATTCGGAAAGTACTTTGGAATCATTTTTAAGTCTTGTGGGAAAACTTTTTAATGAAGGATTTCAGCCTTGCATAGGTAACTTACTTATTTTATCAAAATCTTCTAAAATTGCATTAAAATGTGGAGAATACTAAATAATAATTTAAAATTCGTGCAGCCAACATATATCCAAATGGTTATTTCCCTGTGAGTCGTTCAACTAGAATGATTGCTCCACTCATAAAGTGGGATCACTCCGAAACCTGGGTAACTCCATCCTGCGAAGATGTCGATAGAGCTGAAACGTCCTTTGAAATCCCATTCGACATGAAAAGTGAAAATTATCAGTTTTTGAGAGGTCACACACTGCGAGGAAGTGAATTATTTCCGGCTACTTTTTATATTGGCTTAGTTTGGTACGCCATGGGTAGGAAGTATGGCAAGAACCAGCATGAGTTACCGATTTCATTGAAAAATGTTACATTGAAACGTGCGACAAAAATACCAGTTGATGAAAAAATCACATTTTTCGTTAATTTGACACAAGGTAAGATAGTTAAATTGTTTCATAAGTTTTATATTTAATAGTTATTCTGCCTTAAGGTTCTGGAGCATTTGAAATTGTGGAAAGCAATGCCACTGTAGCAAGTGGCTTTGTAGAAATTCTTTCGTCACTGAATCACAAAGAAAATCCTTTGAATAAGGCCATAACACAAAACGAATCGTCCATAATTTTAAACGGTCAAGAATTTTACAAAGAAGTATCGATTCGAGGTTACGAGTACAAAGATCCATTCCGCGGAGTGAAAAGCTACAACCCGATTGATGGCTGGGCCAAAATTCTTTGGGATGGCAATTGGATTGCATTCATGGACTGTGTCATGCAACTGATTATGATGAAAATGAACAGAGAATTTTTAATACCCACTAGAATAAAAAATTTTACCATTGATCCAAAAGCTCAAGGAAAAGCAGTCAGACGGCTTTCTGATTCTCAAGGTAAAAAAGAGATTTCGTTAAAAGCTAACACCATTTCAATGAAAAATTACGTAAGCTTTCATGAAAAAACAATGATAACTTCGAAAACATTCATAAAATATAATTTATTTTACAAAACATTTACAAAATGTGCATGAAGTGGCGTTTATTGGTATCGCTCTTTTATTTTGCGTATTCGTCTCTTCATAAAATCACTGTTTGTATCATACGTGATCATAAATACTGATCAGACATTTTTTGCCACATGGGAATTTATAATACTCCATCTATTAATGAAATGAAAAAGCTCATCATAATTAAAAACCATACCTTTGATTACGATCACTACCCATACTCAATTTGATATAGAAGCTTAACTTAAAAAAGTGGACATTTTTAATAAAAAGATCATTAATAAGATTAATGTACAACTTTATAAAAAAGTGTAGCTATTGAACAATTACAATTACTATTACAGAATTCTTATTTTAAAAAATGTGATATTATTTTAGGTCTAATTGAATTACCAGCTTACTTGAGCGAATTTGAGAATAGTGTCTACTGTGGCGGGGTAAGCATTTCGAACATAGAACTTCAGTCGATGTATTTGAAAGATAACTCGACGCCTCCACTCCTGGAGAAATATTGCTTCTTACCTTATGGTGACGTTGATCGAGCGGATTTCAATGAAGTGGCTAGACTCGCGATTGATTTGACATTGAAAAATAACCAGCCACGTAAAATTTATATTATGGAATACATCGATTGCACCGAATTGTTACCGCAAACCGATATTATCATGACCCCACGGATGGAAACTATTTTGAGGGATAACAACGTCAACAGTCAATTGTTCTTTTATAACGATCGATCGGATTTGGTGTCTACTTTTAATCTTCCAAGAAATGTTGAAATCTTGGAACCAAATGCGATCAATCGTCCACAATGCGATTTGGTCGTTGGTTATCAATTGTTGGAACCAAATCGGCATAAGACTTTGGAAAATTTACTGCTCAACGTTACTGAACGTGGATTCATCTTGACGTATGAAAAAAGGGACAATTATATCGATGTCAAAGCTCCCGCAAAGAAAATGGAAAATCTGAAGGTCATTGCTGAAAAAACATTCAGCATATTTCGACTGGTTCTCTTAAGAAAAATTGATCCAGTTAAAAAACACTTTGACGTTATATATGTCGATAATAATCAATTCAAATGGATCGCTCAACTCAAAACGCTATTAAACTCGTATCCGAACGAACCACAATTCAATGATCGCAGAATTTTATTGGTTGGTCAAAACGATCTGGACAATGGTAAGGATTGAAAAAACAATTAACTCCATCTCCACGAGGAAATGTTCACTCTCAGATGATTTTTTTCAGGATTGCAAGGTTTAATTAATTGCCTGATACAAGAATACGGTACTTCGTATATCAGAGGAATTTTAATACAAGACAACGATACTCGTCCATTTTCCCTTGATGATCCCACGTACTCGGAACAGATTCGCAATGATTTGGTCGACAACGTTTTGCGGAAGGATGGCATTTGGGGTTTCTACAGTCACAGATTTTTGCCAGATTTGGAGCCGAAACTTTGCCATCATGCCATTATCAAACCCTCAAGCGACAAGGATCTCAGCTCGTTCCAATGGACCGAGGGGACTATCAAAGAAGACAAAAAAAATGTCATAAGCGTCTGCTACGCAGCGATCAATTTCAAGTAAAAAATACTCACAAAATTATCAATCGAGATGTATCAATCGCTTATAATTTCACTCGTAGGGACATAATGACCAGCAGCGGCAGACTTCAGAAAACCGACGTGGGAAAAGATTGCCTGCACAGCGAACTGCCCTTCGGCATGGAAATCAGCGGCATTAATCACGAAGGAAAGCGAGTCATGGGCGTGGTGAACGGCGACGGTTTCTCGAATTTCTGCGAGAACAACGGCCGGACTTTCGACGTTCCCGAGGACTGGTCATTGGCGGAGGCGGCCACCGTACCCTGGGCCTACATCACTGCCTACTGGGCACTGCATCACTTGGGTAAATATCACGCTCTACAATGGCCCCATCGCGAGACAAATTGTAGCTGGCATATTTACACTCAGGCCGAGTCAAAGCCGGGGACAAGGTGCTGATCCACGCCGGAGCTGGGGCAGTCGGTCAGGCGGCCATCCGTCTGGCGCTGCACGCGGGCTGCGAGGTCTTCACCACCGTGGGCTCGGCGGCGAAGCGACGCTTCATGCGCCAACTCTTCCCGATGATTGACGAGGACCACATCGGGCCGTCGCGCTCGACCGGCTTCAAGTCGATGATCGTGCAGGCGACCAAGGGACGCGGAGTCGATCTGCTCGTGAACTGCCTGGCCGGCGATAAGTTCGCGGCCTCGCTCGAGTGCATGGCGCCCAACGGCCGCTTCATCGAGATCGGCATGTCTGACATACAGTCGGATTATCAGATCGGTATGAGCAACTTCGCTCGCGGCGTCAGCTTTCAAACCTTCGACGCGACCAAGATCTTCGTCGACGACGAGCTGCATCGGACGATGCGTGGTTACCTGGAGAACGGCATTAAAAATTCCGTGGTGAAACCCATCAACTACAAGATCTTCGAGAAAAACGAGATGGAGAAAGCCGCGTGCTTGATGGCTCACGGTGGACACATCGGCAAGCTCTTGATCAGAATTCGCGACGAGGAGAGTGGAATGAACGAAAAGATGCTGGCCATGCCGAGATACCATTGCTATCCAGAGCGCAGTTACGTGATCATCGGTGGACTTGGTGGATTTGGCCTGGAACTAGGTAAGTCTCGGTGTTAAACGTAGATCCAATTCGATGCAATTGAAGACGTCGATTATTTCCAGCTCACTGGCTCGTTTTACGAGGAGCTCGAAATATCGTGCTCGTCTCGAGGAGCGGCATTAAAACGGGCTACCAGCAAACGAGGATCAAATTGTGGAAGGACAACGGCATCGACGTCCTCGTGATACGCGGCAAAGACTTGAGCAAACAGGAGGACTGCGCGAAGATCTTGAGCAGCGCCAATCTAATGGGCCCCGTCGACGCCATATTCAACTCTGCCGTTGTCCTGAAGGACGCGTTGTTCGAGCATCAGAGTCCGGAAACGTTCGAGGACGTGCTCCAGTGCAAAGCCCGGGCTACCGAGCACTTCGATCGCCAGAGCAGATCCGCTTGTCCGAAGCTGAGGCACTTCGTCGTCTTTTCATCGGTAACGAGTGGCAAGGGTAACGTCGGTCAAACGAATTACGCCATGGCCAATTCGGTGAGCAGTGGTACTTATTTTACGCGGTGGAGCGAAGTGATTTATAAAAATTTTATTCGTTCGATCTAGATCATGGAACGTATATGCGAGAGACGCCAACAAGATGGTCTACCGGGCTTAGCCGTACAATGGGGTCCCGTCAGAGATGTCGGTGTTGTAGCCGATATGGACGACGTCGCGCAATCGCAACTCAAAAATCTCGGACTCGACCTGCAGAACATTAACTCGTGTCTGGATGCCCTCGAAAAATTTTTACTGCAAAGCAACCCGATAGTCTCGAGCTTGGTATTGCTGGGAAAAACGAACGATGCCGACAAAGAGAAGAAGGTCGACGTATTCGAGGAAATTTGCAACGTCATGAGTGCGTATTCGTGCGAACCGTCGAACGAGTGTATAATATACACTGATGGATAATTACTTGTTTTTTTCAGATTTCAAGAATTTGGATAAGATCGATCCAGACGCGACGTTCTTGAGCTTGGGTATCGATTCTATTATGGTGACGGAAGTTGGAAATATCTTGGAGCGACGGGTCAATACTTTCTTTACTAGCAAAGACATAAGAGACATGACCTTTAATAAGTTGAGAGAGATCAATAATAATATAATCATACGCTGATTATTGTTTTTTTCAATTGTTTAGGGGAGTATTGCACCATTTTTTGATTTTTGTATTTCCTGAAAAATGATCAGGAATTTTATAAATGAACACTTTTGTTTAAGATATACTACTTTTTAAATTTCCAAGAGTGTATAAAAAGAGCTTTTAAGTTTCAAAACCTCCCTAATAAACAGTAAAACCCTAAAATCAAATTTTCTATCCAGTTCTTTCAAACTTCTATTCAATATTCATTTCCAAGATTTTATGATTTACTTTGTTCGGAATGTTGTAGCTGGATTACTCTTATTTCGCTATATAAGAACAAATATTACTTATTTCGGCGATGATGGAACGGCCTCTTTACAGGACGGCGTATGCCTGAGCCGAAATCTTGGGTGCAAATATCGATTTGTATGGCTTTTTGTCGAAGTGATTTCTGGATAAAATAATTTCAAGTCTAATTTGTAACTCGATGCACGATTTTCTAAAACTTTTGCATAGGCTAATTCTGTATCCAGCATCCAGTTTGAATAATTCGGTTTACCCCAACTTTGCCCTTGAAAAAATGTCCGATAAGATCTCGCAAAATTCCTACAGGTAGTCCTACAGGATTCCTGCCTATGTCTCTGATCTGTACAAGTGGACAGACGATACAGTGCGGAGATCGTCGGTGATACGCCGGCCGTTGAGGTCCCTTGTATTGACTCCTGGACGCTTAAGTCCGGCTTTTCCATAAGGGCAGCCATTGCATGGAATTTTCTCCCTGCTGAAATACGTCGAGCTGGATCCCTCATTACTTTCAAGCCCTTATTTAACTTGATGACGTTTCTTCATTTTTTGTCTTTGTTTAACTTTTGTATCGTAATTTTTTCCCTGCACTCTATCAGCAGCCCTCAATGTATTTTATGCTTAGGTTTAAGTATATTTTCTTTATTTGCTTTATGTGTATTCTAATTTTGTTATTTTTAAGCTTTTAATTTGCTTTAAGTGTAATTAAATTTTTTTACTATTATTGCAAGTTGCCATTCGGTCTTTAGACAATGGAAAAAATAAATTTGTCCAAATCAAATCTGTAATGTAGTAGCTTGTATCTGTAACGTGTAGGACAAATAAAAATGTATTAAATAAATACACGTGGTAATGGGAATTGCATGAAGCTTGTCAAGTTCTTGAAATGATAAAATTAAACTTTTATCGTCATATGTATTTCAAAACATGTTAGAATTAGACTAGTTTTTCTTCAAAATCTGCTAATATCTTTTGAAACCTCACGATCGTTTTAGCAATAGCTTTCATTTCTCTCCATATACAGTATATACATACGTCATGTACACCGCAGCGCATGGAAAAATATCTGAGCATTTCGCGAAAGCTCAAGAGATAAGGGCATTCCGATTACGCGGAAAGCCTCATTGGGCTCTCTTTTTGATTAATTGCCGCGGCCTATACACCATAGCGCTTAAATGCAGTAGACTCGGAACAGTTATAGTTGCAAAGATCTTTGACGTAACTAGAGGAGCGTGGGTGTTTCATCCGAAAAGTGGCAAATACGCGCAAATTTTCGCAGTATGAATTTTGCGGAAATGAGATTCTTGTAAAATAATCGTCTTGATATATGCTGGAATTATATGATACGAGGCTCGAAAAGCAAGATCTACAAGTGCTTCTGGCACAAATCTTTAGCGGAAAAGAAATAATATTTATATACAAATTTCCTGCGTACGCGCGACGATATGTGGCATCTCTTCCGATTACTCTACTAGAAGTGCTCAACATCAATAATAGCATAATGCCTAAAAACTGATTATTTAAAATGTTTTGCAATATAATACCAATTATTGGCTTGTTTTTGTAGATTCATAAATGTTTCGATTATGTTGAAAATATCTAACTAATTTACCGCTACATGGCGAGTACCTTTATCTGTAAATCTGCAAGTGGCAAAGTGAAAATGTTTGTATAAATCAAAGCACGGGTCTCCCGTTCCTCACCTTGCGGAGTTGGTTCTAACTCGAACCCGCTGGAATAATATTAATTAAAAACAATGCAAATTAGACCGGCAAACAAACACACATGACGCAACAACAAGCGCATGATCTCGCGAGAGAAAAGGCGGCACAGCCAAGTAAAGATGTACATTATGTTACGCGAGGCTCGTAGGCTGAGGCATACGTCGGCACACGTATAGGCCCAACTGTCACTTGAATGTATGTGTGAGTGTGCGCGGCTAACATGCGCCGACGCATTAGATCGGAAAAAGGTATAAAACATATGTGTGTTTTTGATAATTTAGTGTGATGCGCTTTGAGAAGTCGATGATTTTAGCAATACAATAATCCTCAAATTTAAGGAACTTTGAACCATTCGTTTCATTTATTACTATACTCAAATTCGAAATTTAGTGGTCATATCTGTTTCAAACTATAACATTTTATCTAGAGTATACAGTTGATATTTTCAACAGTGGGAAGCGTTTTTACCTTTTAATAAAATGAGTTCTTTGTCGACTTTTTTCTATATTGAAGCACTGGACTCCATGCATTTGTCACCCGTGATAGACTATAGCTTGAATTATTAAACTTCCTTTAAAAATTTACAATTAGCTACACACAAAAGTTCCATGCAAGTGTTAAACATGAATTATGTCAATGACTACTAACAATGGATGTGATATTTTAATAAAGCTAACATCAATCCGCAACGGGATCAATACCAGGCACTCGAATTTTGAATTTGTAAATAATGACGGCATTTTTTGAAAATAGAAATAAACTTGAAAGGCAGCTTTTACAATTAGACGACTTTATTAAAAAATTTTTTTTTCGAAAGTGAACTTTGAAATTTGAACTATAATTTTCAAAAGTCGTTGATAAAAAAACAAGTCATCATCTCTCGAATGAGATATTTTCTTTCCATTCTATTAACCTGGTCAATGAAAGATTAAAAGTAACATTTTGTAAAAATAATATGATTTGAATTTTTTATAATTGACTAAATACGACTTCAAAATTACAATAACGACGCCAATTACAAGCCGAAATAATATTGGGTTTGCTCTTCAGTAATGATTTTAGCGCCATAAATATGATGGTTAACGCTGACGACATTTTTTACTGTTATTTTTATTAAAAATTTTCATTGAACGTTTTTCACAATACATTTCGACAACCAAGAGATGAGCTAGCAACCCGATTCCAAAATAATACTTTCCGTTAGTTCGAAATGCCACAATCAAACCCGATGAAAACTTATTCAGGTTTGCTATTTCTTAAATTTAGTTGTTTACAAACCTCTTCCCAAGGATATTTGTTTTTACTTTATGTGTATTGTTTAAAAGTACTTTCTTTACATTTATTTTTGAGGGAATGTATTCAAGTTTGACAGAATACAACAGTCGTTACACATAATTATTAATGCATTTTCAAATCTCTATACAATCACTAACAAAAAGTTTACAAATGCGATACAAATCTGACTAACTGTGGTGGATTGAAAAAACTACGACGTAATTTTGGTAGAAAAAAAGGCCTTGACAAATTTTCAAAATCATGGCTATCGGTGATCAGAGTATATCCCCGTAAATTTTCAGTTGATACTCAAGTTTAATAATTAAGTTGTTTTCCTCATTTCCACATTATATTTTACATAAACTAGGTTGAATGAGCATTCTCGTGTACTTGGGACTCGCTTCTTGAAATATTGGCTCGAAATTTTCCCTTCGGTTGAATTAACCTTAAGGTTTACTTGTTTATTACCTTACCAGGGTAAATATCAATTGTTTGGAATCTTATATCATTGTTCTTTGCACTGCGTTGCCATAATGTTCACGGTAAATATTCATGACACATATTTAACTGCTTTTATAATAATCGTTTCTACAAATTAAGATTATGTGGATCCTGAAAGAGAAGGAAGAAATGGAAGCTCTTAATAATTCTATGGTTGAATCTATATTTCAGATAATTACTAGTTCAGCTTTACTATATACTTACTTATATATTGGAGCAGCTAAAGACGAGGTTTTCTTTTTTAAATAATTAAATTAATATAAAAAGTTGTAATTCATTCAATATTTATATCAAAACATATCAGATGCTGGAGGTGGTAGCTCGAATGTGGTACGATTATACCGAAGAAATTCAAAATATTATTATAAATCTTACAACAAAGGCAGTCTATTTCATAAAAATTCAAGCTAGTAAGTATTAGTTCAATATTTTGAATTGGTACATTTAAAATATAAATGTGTCTAATTTTACTTTTTTCCACAGTATTGTTAATTGTAACGTGTGCTAGTTATGGAGCAGCTCCAGTGGTTATACCTTTTTTTATGACTTTAACAAGTTCAAGTAATCAAACCTTTGAAAAGACTTTACCCCTCCATCATGAATGTTCGGTCGACGAAGATAAATACTTCTATATATTATTTACATACCAGTTCATTGCTTTAACTGACTTTGGTATTCTAGTAGCTGCTATGAATTTTATGTATTGTTCACTTTTAATCGGTGCTGTTGCAGGAATTCGAGGTTTAGAGTACGTATTTTATTTTAGAAAAATTAACTTCACAAGCTCATGTTATTAAAAAAAAAACTTTATTATAATTTTTTTCCCAGGCATTTATTGAAAAAAATTGATGCTGAGTATAGTTACAAAATTTCGAAGTGTGATGAAACTGCAAATGAATGGATTTATCTGCAGCTCAAAGAATTTGTTCGCTATCATCAAACCCTTACAAAGTAAGATTTTCTTAAATTTGTTCAATATTCTAATATTAATCTTGGGATTCATAATTATAAAGTTTCTATGAATATGCTCGAGGATTGTGCCGCCCGATCATTCTCGGTTTATTATTTGGAACAAGTTCTTGCATAATTTTAGCTTTAACCTCGGTATGAAAATACATATTGATTGGACACCAGACATTGATCTCAAAAAAAATTTTCGTTTCATGTGAATATCTTATTTTCAAATTAGATGGTAATTTCGATGAATACAGACTTGGCTGCTACAGCGAGGATGTTTGTCGGAGCTGTTGTATCAATTGCTATAGTTATCTTTATCTGTTTTCCCAGTCAGTTAATGAAGAATGCAAGTGATGAAATTTTTCTCACGTGGTAAAATTTATACAATATTATTCATTTAAATCTTCATTATAAAAATAAGTATTATATCAAAGCTGTAAGCTGAAGTATCAAAATTATCCTCCAAAAATTAGAAAGATATTATTGTTCATAATGATGAGAACCGAAAAATCTTTTGCGCTGACTGCTGGACCAATGGTTGAGCTAAATTTTGAAACTTGCAGTTCCGTAAGTTCATTCAATATTTAAAAAAATGTGGTATAACAATTTTGGTATGTTTATTTTCAGATTATTAAATCTTCTTTTTCTTACACAGCAGCTTTTAGATCGGTCTACAAATCACAATAACTGAAATAGTATTATTTAATAAACCTTATGAAAAAATGTTTTAATTTTAAGTGAAGTTCTCATCTGCTAAGCGTTTTGTTTCATTCTTTGTTGGAATTTATGTACGATATTTTTTGTTCATTTTCAACATATAAATAGTATATTTCTCAACGGGTGCACATATGGTTTTTTAGCAAAACGAGGGATTATAGCACGAGCCGAAGGCGAGTGCTGTAACGAGTTTTGTTAAAAAACCATATCTGCACCAGTTTGAGATACTATTTTTTCCTACGAGAGCCTAAAATTAGCGGCAAAGTTGCGTATTTTAGGTTAGAGTGGGGAAAAAATTTATATTATGCTTATTTCAAAACAATTTTTTTTTCTTTTTGATCAGTCTACGCGTCCAGTAGTAGTTACTGAAATTTCCCAACTTATACATTATCTTCAACAAACCACTTTCTTTATTTTTGTAACGTGAAAAAAGGTGTAACTTAATTATTTACAATTCAGTTTAATCTAAAGTAATGTGGGTATTCTGTTAAAATAGTCATGTTGTATTCATGAAATATTTCTTATTGGTTGTATACTCTCATTAGAATTGCTAGTCAGAGGTGTTGAAAAAATCTTAATTTCTGTTAGTAAGTCAGCGAATTTTTAGCTACAGCTTAAAAATTGGTTAGCTGAGTTACTAATAGAACTTGTAAATTTTTCGATTTGGGGTATAAATTGTACATTTTCTTTGATTGGATGTATTACTTTATAGTTAGATTAATCAAACTATTTTTCAAGTGTTCGAGAATAAATTATTGTTGACACTATACTTGAGATTTATTATTTTACCTCTCCAGTAAGTAAGAATTTTAGTTTGTGCTACAAAAATCTTGATTTAATGTACCGTCTAAGAATTTTAGGTGATCCATTAGTCAAAGATGACAGCTATCAAATCGGTATCGTAAGTCAGGTTTTCGAATGTGGTCTTTCTCACTTATATACAATCTCTATATCAATGTTATCTACTACACTAATTGGATAAATCAAACAATACAATAATTAAATACCACTCAAAAAATGCAACCAGATTACTGAGATTATCAAAACATAAAACTTAATTAAATCTAACATTCATGTTTCTCTCATTTAGACAAAAATAAGAAATGTTTATATTATAAAACAGACTGTTGACGTTTCAACTTATGAGTGTTATTTTGTTTAAATGTAGTAGTCATTGAATATTTTTCTACACTTAGGTATGCGCAAATCAACACAAAAGCATTTGTGTAAGTTAAAATTTGTATTAATTTTATCAATATCATTTTGATAGACTTTTGAAGAGAAAAATTGTTTTTTTATTTCTTGTTCATTCGGCAAAAAATATACTAAAAACAAAAATAAATTTGTAAATAATCGATTTTAAATCGACGCTCCCCACAAAGAGTAACATGTTTCCATTTAAATTAACACGCAAATAACATCGAAATATAATTTGAGCAACTTATTACGTTATGATTAGATAACAAAATTTCTATGTACAGAGAATTATGTATTTATAAGAAATCTGAAAAAAAATTTTGCAATGTGTTGTGAGAATCTGCCCAGTGAATAACTGGTCAATTGTCAATATGTTCAAGTTTTTACTTCTTGTTTGTGCCATTGCCGTATCATGCGCGTACGCAAAACGTACTGAAAGCTTTTTCATACATCAAAAAGCAACGTTTTTAAATACACAAAGTAAAATGAAAAAATTTTTTTAATTTTTTAGCTCGCGAAACAACGTATTTGTTTAATGGAGAAGATGCGCAAACAGGTGAATTTCCATACATGGCATACATAATCCGTCGCAAATCTGGGGAGGATGAAGTTTTGTGTGGGGCTTCCATCATAGGAAAACGATTGATTCTTACAGCTGCTCATTGCGTATACGGGTAATACATCATATTACTAATTTCCTTTAAATATTAGTTGAAAATGTACCCTTTTTTCATTAGTCTATCAGCGAGGAGAGGACGAGTTGGTTTAGGCACGCTAAGACCAAGCGAAGACGACGGTGTTGTTCATAAAATCGAAAAAATCGTGATTCACGAAGATTATCTTTCATACGGAAAGGTATGGTACTTTTTAAATTATTTACAGTTTAAATTGCTTTTCATCAAGTTTTTTGTACCATCAGTCAATTTTCATTTCAATTTTTTGCAGCTCGACAGTGACATAGCTATAATTTTATTAAGAGAAGATATTACTTATAATGACTCAGTCCAACCTATTCGATTGGCAACAAAAGATTATGAATTAAGCAATGGTACAGAAGCTGTAATCAGTGGATGGGGATATAAGGTAAGTCATTTTGTTACGGAATGGGTATCGTGCTTCATCGATACCGAGCATTTAAGAAGCACCGCGTGCAAAACTCCTCATGGGCAGCACTTCTGTGTGCCTAAAAACGAAGTATTGTATTAAATACACGAATATATTTTCAGAGTTACCCAAAAAATTTACCAGATATCTTACAGAAATTAATGGTTAAAATTATCACTGTTGAAAAGTGCAGGGATATTTGGAAAGATGTTAGCCTAACTAAAATTGACGAAGGATTGATATGTGCACAGTCTCTGAATTCATCTTTAAACCAAGGATTATGTAGAGTGAGTTTCTATTTAAATTCACTGTTTGAATGAGATACATGATACATGATAGAAATTGAATCATTTTTTATATTTTTGTAGGGTGATTCAGGCGGTCCACTGGTTACAAGTGACGGAATTCAAGTAGGAATCGCAAACATGATTTTATATTGCGGATATGCCAACAAAGTTCCGGATGTGTACACTAGTATTATTTATTATGCTGATTGGATCAATCAAACAATAGAAAAATTAATTGGAAATCAAGATTTTGATATTGACATAAAATAAATAAATTATTGAATAATTCAGAAAAAAATTTAACAACGCGTTTTTATATCTGAGAAGTACAGAGCGCCGTTAGCCATTCAATCCTTCATTATTCATTGCATTTTCAATCGTTGTGATGATCAGTTATTACATGACGGGGCAAATTGTAAGACCAAATTTGAGCGTTCATGAGCTATGGTACAAAATATAACTAAACTCCGTCAGCTTTTATCACTTCTCCGATTGAAGAAGATCACTTTTTGCTTATATTGCAAAAAGCTCTCATACAAAAAGTATGGTCAAACTTTCCTATCGACTATAGAAATTTTTTAAATATCGTTTCACCGAGGTGAAAATAAAAAAGTATCGAAGCATGAAAAGTAAAAGTATAACTTGACAAGAAAATGCGTGCACACAACACGAGTCACTTTAGAGTATCAAAAAAACAAAAAAATCGCCCGAACAGGGACTTGAACCCTGGACCCTCAGATTAAAAGTCTGATGCTCTACCGACTGAGCTATCCGGGCCTTGATAATTGGGTCTCTCAATGAGTTGAAAAAGCAACTTTCAAAAAATGTTGTCTGACTCTCTCTTTCTCTTTTTTTATCTCTTATCTATCGTTCGATCTCTCATGCTACGCGTGTACACACGAGTTGCTGAATATCGTATAATTTGGTAACGAGTAAAAAACGTAAATCTAGCAAAGTAGGGGCAACGCCTGATATCGTGTACACCATTGTTTTTATGAACACTGAAAGTATGTTTTCCACTCGATAAACGAATCAATTTACATCCCTAGTATACAATTCAGTGTCGTTTAATTCGTTACTGAATGAAGCGGCACGAGTACAATACATATCTCACGTCACATGTTCCTCTCATGTTCCGTGACATTTTCGCGCAGCGAGATATCGATTGATTTCTCACGGAGTCCTTAATACTCCTTAGAACTTACGAAGACTGAAGTAACGCGACGCAATTCATCGATTTTGTGATCAAGACCGGCTACAAGTACGAGCCCGAATTAGACGAAAACGGCGAGATACTGCTGCGTCGCACCACTGCGGTGCGTCGCGAGGATATAGATGCACGCGTAAGAGGACCGATAGGGCAGTCGCAGTCCGTAAATTATTCAACGTATGTGATAGGTTTTACGCGAATTATACGATCACGACTGCTATGATAACTGGGTAGAAAAATTCTTCGAGATCAACTCAGCAGGGGGGGGGGGGNGGGGGGGGGGGGGGGGCAGATCGATGCTCGAGACAAGTCAGGTAACGCGCCGTTGCACTTAGCTCTTGCACATCGTTTGCAAGAGAGACACCGACGACGATCCTGGTAAAGATGTTATTCGAGATCTGCGACGAAAGAGAACAGACGCTTCTGGTCGACATACGGGACCAGTTGGGCCTGACACTGCTGCAATGGGCAGTGGCCTATCACTTGCCGAATGCGGTCGAGTATCTGTGGCGTTGCGGGGCCCGTTTATCCAACTTTGTTTTCCCCGCGACGGATTATTTTGCGGAGAGATCAATCGGACTTGTGCGGCCGTCGTTGAACTTCTCGAGAGAGCAGAATACAAACTGGGCCGGGGCAATGCCCTGATGATCATGAAATTTTTCGAGAAAATTTTTCCGGAAATTCACACTGCATCCTTTGTGGCAGCTGATGGAGCACCGACTTTCAGTCCAGTGCTGTGAAATGATCATAGGGCAGTAGTTAACGAACAAAGGTTTATGGCATATTTGCTGGGCAGCTATAGACCAAAGCTGGCTATGGTGATCAGCATATTTGCACTATTTCTAATGTCTTGTACCATTTTTCCTATATTTTAAGTTTAATTTCATTAAAATTGAATATTAAATTTAACTTTTTTTGTTCATTTTCTCGGTTAATTTCATAATTGTAAACCTTCTTTTCGATCAATTATAATATAAAAAAGATGTGTCTTTTTTACTTCTATCTGATAATTTAATATTACTTGCTTTACATGCGAATGCTTTCCTATTGTTCAAGTATTGTCGTTGAGGACATGGGGCGAGAGTGAGGGGAGAGCTTGGTGGGGTAATTTTTACTCAACTCGGCTTCCGGATTGTCGTTGACACGTTTTAATTTTCAATTATAGTTCTAGCACTAGTCGAAGCGTAAACTCTTAATTATTTTTGTAAGCAGTCCTGCAAGCTTTTCCCTCAGTCTTGGATCACCGCGGTGGAGCCCAACTGACATAATACAACTGACTTGTTTTCTAATATCCCAACTCCTGCTCGTCGAGTTTCGCATAAAAGTAAACACCTGTATTTATTCAACTATGATGGATAACCACAGTCGTTACACCGATTTATTTGATACTTACTGCTAAAATACAGCCTTTATACGTTTTTAGAGCCTAATGAATCATGGGTGACGCCGATCAGAGTATTTCCAAGTAAGCTTGTAGTTGATACTTAAGACTCCAAAAATCTTTTTCTCATTTTGTAATTTTTGTTAAACTAGGATAGATGATCATCCTAATGCAATTGGTATTCGCTTCGTAAAATATTGGTCAAACATTTTTCCTGCGCTTGATATAACTTTAACAATAAGTTGTTTAAAACCTTTCCCGGGAAAATGGCAAACATTTGGAAAATTTTGTCATTATTTTATGCACAGTTTTTCATTTATAGCCGCGGTAAATATTTATGAGACACAATTAGCTGTTATTACACTAATAATTTTTTTAAATTAAGATTCTGTGGGTCCTGAAAGAGAAAAAAGAAATGGATATTTTTAACAACTTTATGGTTGAAGTTATATTTCAGCTGCTTGCTAGTTTAGGTTTGATGTTCGCTTACGTGTCCATTGGAGCAATTAAAAACAAGGTAATATTTTAAAATGGATTAAAGTAACAATAATTTCAATTTGTTCAACCTCATATGAAAATATAACAGATACAATTGGTGGTGGCCCGAATGTGGTACGATGTCACTGAAGATATTCAAAATATTATTTTAGTGCTTGTCTCAAAAGTAGTCTATATTGCTACTATTCAAGCTGGTTAGTATTCTTTATAATTTATTCTTGAACCTGTATATCTAATATTTTATCGCTAGCAAAAACAGCACTTTTTTAAATTATTAGTATTCACATGACACATGCCTATTGTAGTGCCCATTAAAATTGAAAGTTCTTATACAATAGACATTTGCTTTATGAGTACTAATAATTTAAAAGAGGTACCGCGTTTACTACCGATAAAATATTAAATATGGTTAGTATTAGTTCGACTTTTGACTTCAAACATAAACATATTTTCCATAAAACACGACTGATATTAATTTTTTTTTTCACAGTGTTATTAATTACAAGTTGTGTTATTTATGCGTTGGCTCCAGTAACTATACCTTTTTTCATGACTTTCATAAGTTCAGGCAACCAAACCTTTAAAATCGCTCTACCACTTCATCATGAATTTTTAATCGACAAGGACAAATACTTTTATCTAATATTTACAGAACAATTACTTTTATTAACTGATTTTGGTATTTTAGTAGCTGGTATGAATTTTTTTTATTGTTCACATTTAGTAACAATAATTGGAGGATTTCGTGGTTTGGAGTACGTATTTCATAATAGAAAAATCAACTTCGCAAGTTTATTTTATTTGAAACAAAATGAGAGCATAAAAAATTTTCTTTCAGACATTTATTGAAAAAACTTGATGATGAGTATTGTTACAAAATTTCAGTTGGCGATAAAAATGCAAACGAATGGTTTAATTTACAGCTCAAAGATTTTATTCGTTATCATCAAGCTATCATAGAGTATGTCTTTTTTTTAGTTGTTCCAATTTGTTCTAATTAAGCTATTGATTCATTATTTTGAAGTTTCTATAAAATATCTAACGAAGTAAGCAGCCCAATTATGTTTTTCTTATTACTTGGATCCGGTTGTAGCATAATCTTAGCTTTAACATCGGTATGCAGTTGAATATTGACTGAATTTCTGACATTAAGTTCTAAGTTTCATCGTTTTATGATAACATTTTATTTTCACTACAGATAGTAGTTGCAACGGACACAGCCATGGCTGCAACAGCTAAAATGGTCGTTGGAACTTTAATAGCAGTAATTCTGATTATCTTTATTTGCTTTCCCAGTCAATTGCTAAAAAATGCTAGCGAAGACTTGCTGCTCGCGAGGTATATAATATTTGTACAATATTATTCATTCAATTATTCATCATTAAAATAGGTCTTTTTATAAAAGCTATAAACTGAATTACCAAAATTATCCACCATAAGTAAGAAAGACATTTTTATTCATCATGATGAGAGCTGAAAAATTGTTTGCCATGACTGCCGGACCACTCGTGGAGTTAAATTTTGAAACTTGTCGTTCGGTAAGTATAATAATAGAAAATATCATAAAGCCACGTTTTTAAAAAAACTTAGAAATAATATCCTAATTTTGTTCTGATTATTTTCAGATTCTTAAAACTTCATTTTCTTACACAGCAACTTTTAGATCAGTCTACGCGTCAAATATGAGTTGATAAAATTTCTAATCTTATAAATTATTGTCATCAAACTACTTGCGTTAGTTTTTCATCACGAAAAAGTACAACTATAGTCGATTTTCTTACAAGGGGGAGAAATGGAACTTCTGCATGCACGTGATAATGACGCCGAGGCGAGGCCGCCATATCACGTGTGTAAGGGTGTTTCATTTTTCACCCGTGTATGAAATAGTATTTTTTTCCATCCCCACACAAAAAATTTTATTAAATTATCCAAATAAATTCAAAATAAAAAAATAAATCCAAGGATTCAATGCACATAAGAACTTGCATTTATTCTTTCTTTCGCATCGAGGTTCCAATTTGTCGTTGGATTGTGCAGAAAACAAAGCGGTTATGGTTATTATTGACTTTTACGTAAAATCAGTTACATGTGTTGCAAATGCTCTCCTTCACTTTTTGCATCGTGAGCGTAGAGAGTCATATTAAATTTTAAAATACGACTCTGTAATTAAGTTCCGAATTTTGATGCTTGCCCCGACATTAGTATCACGAACGAAGCGAGTTTCCGAAACCCTGAAGTAATTCAAGGTTTCATCAAAAAAAATTATGTAAGTATGATGAATGTCTTCAGAATTTTGCATTAACCTTTGTTATGCTCTTGTAAGCAATTGACGAGATGCTGATATGGTTTTATACATATCATTTGACTCAACTATAAGTTAGAATGTACTACCTTTACACATGTAAACATGGTACTTCATGTTTTAAGCATGAGTAAACAGTTGATGTGTACTTATTAAGGTATAAGAAAATACAAAATTCCACCAAAGTAAAGTTTCAAATATGGTTTGACTATATTAGTATGAGGAATAAGGTATTATTCATCTTATTTCTCGCTTTAGTAAAATCTATGTGTTATAATAGAGATTCAGTTAAAAAATGTATACAAGAATTGTATTTCATTATTGTTGCTGCACGTATGAGGCCGTTGTGAGTCCCTAGGAGTTCAGAAAAAATAAATCCAACGAACGAGAATATTTGAGGCGATGCTCGTTTATTAGTTGAAAAAGCTTGAGATCACATAGCTCTGCACCGTCCGCGCGTTACCAGGAGAATGCCGATGCTGCGTCGCTCCAACTGCTTGGCAACCTAAATCAACAATCTTTAACAAACGATATTGCTGGTTACTAGGCATTTGCAGGCCAGCAGGTTTTCGAGTCTGCCTCTGAACTCGAACTTCTCTGCATGTGGCCTTTTGCCACCTCACAACGAGCTAATATGCTTGACGAGTTCACAGTTGAAGCCGTATACATTTGTTCCATAACAATTATTGTTAGGTTGGTGTGATCACCGCCTGTCGATATCGCAGAGCCGCTGCTCTACCATGCGACACCTACGAGAGAGACTTGAGCGCCGCGAGTCTGCCGGCCGCCGTCTCTCCCTACTCACTCCGTATCTATACACCGCCCTGCGCACACATTTAGATCCTTCTCTAACTTTTTCTTTTGCCAAGTGCCCTTTTGTTTGTTTTACGATAATAAGCTCGATTGCTAGTTGTACGTTTCGATAGAAACTTTCACATATCTTTCTCAACCACTATAAATAAATAAAGTTCAGTGTGTATTTGATAAGTGAATTGTGTAAGTGTTTAGTCAACCCTTCCATTCCAACTAATTATCCTCGTCGAGCTCAATCAAATCACCACAATTATAATAAACCATATAATACTCTATTATGAGCCAAATTGAGATATACGAACACAGTTATTTTTTGACTTTTACTCATTTTTTCATATTTAATGGGAAAAGAGTACACGTATAGACTTGTAACATACAAATTTGAATTCCTTTTTTACCAAAAAAACCTATGTTTACTTATTTTTTCAGAGTAACGAGTGGCTTTTGGAGGAATAAATTAATTTCTCAAGTTCATCGTTGAACCTATGAGGAGCCCAATGGAAAAGACCCAGAGGTCTCTTGCTTGGTAAAATTTCACCTTTTTGTCTGTTCTATGAGCATACAATATCAGGGCATAGATTCATTTTTGGCCTACAACACCTATTGTGGAATAGCCCATACATTAATTTTATTAACTTGTCAAGTCAGTATTTATTGGCTTTTTTCAATCGGTTTAATTCTATACATACCCCAGAGTTAAGTTACTGCTACTTGTTTCTTCGTTTATTTTGTTTCTTTATATTTATAAGATAATTAAAATACAAAAAAGGGTACATAGTTTTTCATACTTTTCTATAGTACATCATATAAAGGTAAGAAAATAAATTTAACTGGTGTTTTATTGACATGCACATTATATTTTTTTATTAAATTGTGTGATAATAGATACAAATTTTATTCATATAAAACCGAGGCATTTTACCGTACTCTAGTCCTTAAAAACGCTCTTGGCGTACTAAAAAGTGTGCGAATAAAGATATTTTTCGCTGTACAATTGCATAAAGCACTATTAAGCCTGCCTAGTGGCATTTAATTTTAATAAGAATCGATAAAAAGGCCTTCCATCGTTCCTTGTTTCTCCGTAGTTGTATTCCTGAATCTTGTTGGGATAATCGCAGCGATGATTTGAATGATCGTAGATCGTTCCAGCAGGACAGTCAAAATAGAATGGTAAGTACTCGACGCATTTTATGAACTTTGCATAGTCCAGATTGTTTCTGAAGATACCGTAGGGTTAAGGACATTGTTTGTTTGGTCCAGCTTTTGCCGCTGTCGTGATTGAAAACGAAATTAATCAAGAAAATTAATCTACAACTATCATAGAACAGTAAAGGGTGAGTAAATAATTATAAAGATAAAATATCACTTACGAACTCTGATGATCTTTCAATGCAGTGTGGATTGGAGGAATATCTGCATGGATTGTCGTATCCCCCCGGTAAACGTGAATTATCAACCTCGGTTTCGCTTCGGATGCGATAAATGCTCTGAGACTTTCCAGTTTTTCACTCCCTAGGTGCAAAATATACTATTTATGCACAATATGATAGTTTGCGAAGTATAAAAAATGTGTATATTATTATATTATAGATTGTTAAATAATTAGAAAATGAACGAGATGTATCGTTCCTAACATTATTATTATATCCGCTATCTAACACGATAACTAGTATATGATACAATTGTTTTACAAATATCACATTAAAACATAACAATATATTTAAATATAAGTAAAGTGAATAAATTTAACTAGGTCCAAATAAATAAATATTCTATCATTGAAAATACAAGTTTTCATTTAACCCTTTAACGCCCGAAGTGACCATTTTGGGACAACATTTATAGCGATGAATTACACCGACTAAAAATTGTTTAAAGATTCTTAAGATTGCTTAAAATTGCTCAAAGAACACAAATATGTGTTCAAAATTTAGAAAAATTTAAATTTTCTTCATTTTGCAATATATTTGTTTATAACAAATTTTTGGGCAGTCTGAGCGACTTTTAACTATGATATTCGGATTCAGCGGGAAAAAATACATAAGAATAACATGTTTTCATCCATCTTCTTCACGTGGCCGATCCGACCCCTCTTTGGCTCCAGGACTATATCGTCTAAGTATTGTCGTCACCCCCAGTCTAGGTTCACAGCGGTGGAGCCCAACTAAGATACTACAACTGACTTATTTTCTAAGATCCCAAGTCCAGCTTGTTGAGTATTGTATGAAAGTAAACACCTACATTTAATCAACTATGATAGATAACCACAGTCGTTACACCCATTTATTAATATACATTTGCAAATATCCATGCACTCGATAATAAAACGGGTAAAATTGTGATACTTAATGTTGTGGATATGAAAAAACATGACGTTATTTTGACAGACAATACAACCTTGATACGTTTTTAGAATAATGAATCATGGGTGACGCCAATCAGAGTATTTCCAAGTAAACTTTTAGTTGATACTTAAGACTCCCGAAATCTTTTTCTCACTTTGTAATTTTTATTAAACTAGGATAGATGAGCATCCTAATTCAATTGGTATTTTCTTCGTAAAATATTGGTCAAACATTTTTCCCTTGTTTGATATAATATACACAATTCCCGCAACCCAATGATCATCGAGTAAGAGATGGATCGCTGTAGTTGCGATTTATTAGTAAACCACCATCTCTTATAACTCTTTTTTAGAACGAAGATAGCGGATGAAATCACACTTGAGCTCGTTCACGTAACATCTCTTAAATTTTTCAAGTTCAAATGCATGACATTACTAAGGATAAACATTCTGCATATCCCTGTTAAAAATAATCAACATCAAATTACCTAATGACCGGAAAATAGCCATTTAAAGTGTTTTCAAATACATTACTATTATTTGGCTCGTTTATGATGATTTTTCCTTAAAAATTATGGTACAAATATTTAGCGCACTTTAAACGACCGGAGAATAACACTTTAATTATTTCAAAACTTTAGACTAGTTTTCAAGGACTTTAAAACCAATGATGGTGAGAAAATGCGGAGAATTATAAGTCCATAAATTATTGAAAAGAATGAATACCTTTGGTTAGTATATATGGGTCAGATTCAGAATTTTTCAAATAAACCTGCGGGCGAGGTGCACGGATTTTCCTGAAATTTTGGTATGTCATAGTACATGATAAGAAAGTGCCAAAACCAAAATTTTGGACTCCCTCCCCCCTCCTCCCCTATAGACGTCCATTTTCTATCTATATTTTTTCTGAAAGCCTGAAGCTATTAAAAAATCTGAAAAAATTCACAAAAATACTTTTCCACAATCCAAACAACCTTGAATTTTTTCAGATATTTTGAGTGCTTCAGGCCTTCAGAAAAAATCATTGAAAATTTAAATTATTTTATTTTCGGTAAAATGGTTCGATGTACCAGACCGGAGTATTTTTTTCTGAATTCTGACATCAAAAAACAATTCCTTGAATTTTTTCAGAATTTTTCATTCATGTCCATTCAGCCTAGAGCTGAAAAACCGCTTTTTTCACGAAAATAATTTTTTTAAGGCGCTACGGAGCCTCAAAAAATCTGGAAAAAATTTTTTCTCATTTTGTTCATCAAAATACATAATCTCAAATTTTTTCAGATTTTTTAATTGAAGGCGATAGCGTCTAGAGCCGAAAAACTTTATTTTTCACAAAAAACGTTCCTGGAACCCGATAGTTCCGGTAAAAAAATTTGAAAAATTTCTTTTTGAATTCCTTGTCAAATTTTAATAAATTTTGACCGTCGCAAAATTTCGATTGGAGCTTCCTAGCTCATTCGAGCGAAATTCTGAAGACATTCATCACAATTACATTATTTTTCAAATTTCTTCAGAATTTCGCTCGAATCTTTGTTATGCTCTAGAAAAATTTGAGATTATGTGTTTTGATGAACAAAATGAAAAAAAATTTTTCCAGATTTTTTGAGGCTCCGTAGCGCCTTAAAAAAATTATTTTCGTGAAAAAAAGCAGTTCTTCAGCTCTAGGCTGAATGGACATGAATGAAAAATTCTGAAAAAATTCAAGGAATCGTTTTTTGACGTCAAAATTCAGAAAAAAATACTCCGGTTTGGTACATCGAACCATTTCACCGAAAATAAAATAATTTAAATTTTCAATGATTTTTTCTGAAGGCCTGAAGCACTCGAAAAATCTGAAAAAATTCAAGATTGTTCGGATTGTTGAAAAGTACCTTCATGAATTTTTTCAGATTTTTTAATAGCTTCAGGCCTTCAGAAAAAATATAGATAGAAAATGGACGTCTATAGGGGAGGAGGGGGGTAGGAGGGGGGAGGGGATCCAAAATTTTGGTTTCGGCACTTTTTTATCATGTACTATAACATATCAAAATTTCAGGAAAATCCGTGAACCTCGCCCGCAGGTTTATTTGAAAAATTCTGAATCTGACCCATATCTATTTCTGTTGGCCCTTTTATATGCCAACAATATTTTTTGATTGGACGAAACCTAGCTATGAAATGTTGAGGGTATCTTACGTAACTAAATTCAAAATTGATCAAGTTATTTTTATAAAACCATACAATTTTATTTTATACGTAGCAAAAATTGAGCCATCGCGATGTCCCGACGCCCAATTTCTCTAAAATACCAGTCGTCGGTCCTTGCGGCCTGGATTCGAGTTTCGTCTCGAGGTTTATATGGAAAATTTTATCCGTCGATCGAGAATCGGGCCACGCGAAGCCAAGATCTTCCTGTTGCTCGGTAGGTGTTGGATTTCTGAAAAACGAGGTCAAGATCGATTTAGTATTGCTGCAAATTCTCGAATACGATTCGCGCGACGTTACCCGTATTTGGCGAAATTCGTCCACAACGTCGTGTAGCGATCGATCATGAAATTAGCTTCTGGGTCTTCGAGCGACACGTTGACCATTGGAACGTAAAGTACCATCGGCAAATCTTCGGCGTGGCCGAGTCCTGCGTGAGCGATCGTGGCAAAAAATAAATCGCGATTATTGAAACGATGAAGGAAATTTTATTGATATTCAATGCGAATTGTACCCTGTATATTGAGGAATTCATTGGCGACCTTCACGATTCCAGAAGCATACGACGACTCATAGTAATAGATCGGATACTGGTCGTTCGTCTGAGCCATGAGTTGCTGCTTGGAATCAATGCCGAGCCTGAACGATAGATCGGTAAAAATCTATCAAAAATATCAATGTAAACCAAATGCTAAATGATGTCAATTGAAAAAAAACTATCGAAATTAACCACCTCGAGAAAGCCACGAAGCAAGAGTCTCGGCAAGAGGGTGATAACGTTGTGAGCCAAAAAACTGATCAACTCGAGCAAAGGACTCAAGTGATACAAAAGCTTGCCGAGCAATTCGTACAGTCGATCCCTCGTTTCGGGTGAAAAAGCTGATTTGATAAGAAGATCTCCTTGTATCGCTGTGTCGAATCCAATCCCTAAATTTTCAATGGTAGTTTTTAGTTGAAATACTTTCTATTTTCTATATCTTTTATCGAGTCTTACCGTGAATGAAAAATAAGAATTCCAATGACGAAGTGCCTAGCATGTGTGGTCCTTTGTTGTACTTTCCGGAGGCGAACAGGTCCACCGGACAGTCGGTTAAGAATCTCTGATTGCCAACAGGTGTGACTCTCTCTACAGACGGGCGGAACAAGAGCTAAAAAAAAGATCACGTAGAAAAAGGTAAGCAACCAATTAGAAAATGAATATGGCCGATTCTCTGTGAAATCGAATGGCCAAAAAATTTTTTTTTCTGCAAATATGAAAAACTTGCTGTTCCCGATGTCGGAAATGTCCCCAAATTTTATTAGAATTTTTGGGACCATCTATCACTCTTTTTCAGAGGCCCGAAGTTGGCCATTTTAGGGTTTTTTTAAAATTCATGAAAAATCACAAATATTAAAATAATTCCTGGAATAGAGTAGAATGATTCAAAAGTAAAAGTGCCCAGCAACTTTTTTGTTGGAAATTGTCCAAATTTTCAGAAAAAAAATATGCCAAAGTGATTGGAACAATCTAGGTAAGTGTAAAGCAAAAAAACTGCCAAGTGGACATAAATGATGAAATTTAATCGAGTTCGAACCGGACTTTCATTTCCTAAACTATGTAAAAAGCTTCCCAAAGATGTCAACTACTGCCTGATAAAGTTTTGTAATGGGCCTTAAAGTTTAACGCAATGTAGACAACAATGTGTGGCGAAAAACATGCAAAAAAGGTCAAAAATAGGCCCCAAATGCCTAAAATCACCAAAAACAGCCATTTTCAGCCTTTGTTTGCATGTTTTTCGCCATACATTATTGTCTACATTGAGTTAAACTTTAAGACCCATTACAAAACTTTATCAGGCAGTAGTTGACATCTTTGGGAAGCTTTTTACATAGTTTAGGAAATGAAAGTCCGGTTCGAACTCAAGTAGATTTCTTGTTTTGTGTTTTTTTTTATGTTTTCCCACTATGCTCTCTTTGGGTGGCTCCAATCACTTTGGCATATTTTTTTTCTGAAAATTTGGACAATTTCCAACAAAAAAGTTGCTGGGCACTTTTACTTTTGAATCATTCTACCCTGATCCAGGAATTATTTGAATATTTGTGATTTTTCATGAATTTCAAAAAAACCCTAAAATGGCCAACTTCGGGCCTCTGAAAAAGAGTGATAGATGGTCCCAAAAATTCTAATAAAATTTGGGGACATTTCCGACATCGGGAACAGCAAGTTTTTCATATTTGCAGAAAAAAAAATTTTTTGGCCATTCGATTTCACAGAGAATCACAGAGAATATATAAGTTACCAAAGTCGATCTCCTGATGATGGTTCGAGCATCCGCCTTGTACAGACTCTGCAGCAAACTCTCCTTGCTGAAACTCGGAAAACCGAACAGAAAGCCCATGGCGAACTCCTGCATCCTCGACTCGAGCCGGCTCTGAAGCGGCCACCAAGTGTTCATCGCGGAGCCGCTCATGGCGATCGATCGGCTGAACAGACCCGCGGACATGGGCGACAAAATATGAAAGTCCACCGAGGACGAGCCGGCGCTCACTCCGAAAATCGTCACGCGATCGGGATCGCCCCGAAACTCGCGGATGTTCCGCTGCACCCAGCGGAGAGCCAGGGTCTGGTCCTTGAGGCCGGCGTTTCCCGTGGCGTTCTCGTGATCGAGATTGAGAAAGCCGAGCGCGCCGAGACGATAGTTCATGGCCACGAGGATGATGTCTTTCTCGAGAAGAAAATCCGGTCCGGTGAATTCGGTGTTAGGATAGCCGGTGAGGTAGCCACCGCCGAAGATCCACACCATCACGGCCTTGAGCTCGGTCGCGTTGCTGAAGTCGCTCTGAAAAATGAATACATTCGCCTCTGCATATGAGTAAAAACACAGTGAAAAAAAAAACCTTTTTATAAAATGCCGTGAAAAAATACACCACATCGAATCACAATTTAACGAATCACGTCAAAAATAAATTGGTTTTTCAAAGAGGTGTGTTTTTCTTCACGGCATCCGATGAGATGTGTTTTTTTTTTTCACAGTATTTCATCAAGGTGAGTTTTGACTCATAAGCAGCGACGATATAGTGACCGCGATAATATTTATAAACTTCGAAAAACTTCCACACGTTGATAATTATGCATTTGGTAAGCGGTAAATTATATAATAGTAAGTGATGTTTATCGCGTTACGTGAGGAGTAAAAACGTTCAAGTACAGGCAGTCCTCGGCGCCGATGAGCGTCAAGTTGAACAGGTCGTACTGCGTGCAGACCGATCCCTGCACGAGGGCGTCCAGCACTCCGCTCCATCTCTTCTTCTCGACCGGCGGCTGAATTCAAAAATAATTATCGGTAAGCAATATCATTTATATTTTTTTTATGTGAAACATCTATATTTTATTTATTTATTAACGAACTTTGAATCTCAAATAGCCAAGGGGAGGCTCTGCGAAGGGTATCCCTTTGAACGACGAGTACACCTTGTGCTTCCTGATCGTCCGGAAAACGGCGCCGCGCAGCTTTCCCCCCGCCGTCTCGATCACCGACGTGTACGTCAAATTTTCAGCTCGGATTTCGGGCCAGCAAATTGGCACGAGGGCACAAGTCAAGGCGACAGCGCCGATTATCGTCCGCGAAGACGTCATTATACACGATCGGTATGTATAACTATTGTTACTGTACTTTATGCGCGCGTGCATTAAACACAATGAATCGGCTCGTACTAACGCGCCAACGCGTTATCCGTCGCGGTTTATATATATTATAATTGCGTACATACAATAACGATTCGATATATTGATAAAAAATGAAAAGTATTAATAATCGTCTTGACGGGAGTAGATAACGAAAAAATTATACTCATTAATGATGATCGTCGTCGCAGCGCGGAAAACGACTAATACTAGTGCGGCTGACAATTGAGCAATTATACGATTGAAACTCTTGACATTTCGAGCCGCTGCCGTTCAATTCGCGCGCGTGTATAAACATTTCAAATCGTGGGAAAAATGGAAATTGGATTAAAATTGGATAAAAATTTGGAACGCGCGTCGAGATAAGATATTCATGCTCGCGCGTATCTCAAATAATAGGAAATTAGTCGTCGAAAAAATAATATATCGTTATTTAGCAAGTAGTTAACATGTGTTGCCTTGATGATCGATCATTTATAAGTATTTTTACGCTTAACTAGTTAATTCGTGCGCTTAGAGGGTCGATCGCGCAATGTATAGTTCTGTGTACAGTATATAATACAGCCTTGCGAAACGTCTGCACTCGGCACGGGGCAATACATTGTTGCGATCAATGACACTTGTATGTTTACATCTGACCGTGTGCAACGCCTCATAACCTATACTACATAAGACGTTTTCAAAACATTCGTGTACTTTTATATAAAAAGGAAAAATGGTTTGTTGTTGAAGAAGCTGCTTTGCAAAGTGATTGAAATGATGTGATTTTGATATTGGTGGTTCATTTTTCAGAGATTCAGATTTCTGGGAGACGTTGATTGTCCAGAATGGCTGCTTGCACAGATTTACAATCTGTCACAAATGGTTTGTAACATTATTGTAATCTTCTTCTTTTTGTGTCAATAACTTTTATGCTTTCTGTTGTATTGCTCCAGACCTCGTCCAAAATGAAAATGTTAAGTCAAATTGTCATCAAGTCTATTACGGATCAAGAACTAGACGTAAGAAATTTTAATTAGATTTCATCTAATGAAATTCATAAAAATGTTGGCTTTTATATTTTATGAAAATTTTATATTTTAGGAAGAAATGTTGGCAAAAATTTCACAAGATTCAAAGATAGGTAATAATAGAATGCCTAATACGTTTAAGACTTATTTATAAAAAAAAATTTGTATTTCAGAAATAAATGAATTAAAAGCTTTGATTGCCGCAGTACAAATGATCTTTAAATCATCTGCAAGAAATGCCGTTTCTGCAGCAGATTTGAGTAATGAATTGCAACAGCTAGGATTGCCACGAGAACACAGTACGATTATAACCAAATTTCATACAGATAATGCAGCGCAAATATCTACTATACTTACTGGTCAATCGCTGAGATGTAAATTCTATTTCTTTTTTTAATTTGAAATAAGAGTCTATAATCAAACTTAACTCTTATTTTGTTTTTTTGTTAAACAGTGTCTAGATTATCATCAGTTGAAGTAGTACCTAATGAAGAGCAATCTCCGTTTGCCAAAATAGTTTTCAAAACAACAAGTGGAGATGAAAATGAAAGAGAAACTACTCTAAATATATCCAAAGATAAATTAAGTGAAATATTAGCAGGTATGATACTTATTCTTAATGTCATAACGCTACGTAACAAAGTATGATGAATGATTAATTTTTCAGAATTAAAAACAGTGCGAACGCTGATGGAGCAAGTTTCGCAATGATTGTAATCATTTGTCTGGATCAGATATATGAAAAAAGTATGATGTAGATAGTATCTAATGAATTAAGCAAATAAGTCAAGCAATTTATATAATTTTATTTTATTTTGATAAATGAATATAAAAAGTTTATTACCTTCAGTTCAATACATAAACTGTGTTATTAATAAATTTGCTTCCTCTATCATAATTGCACCAATTTAAATTTTCACATCATCATTGAATTTATAAATGCATTTAAAATTGAGTAATTTTAAGTTCATAAAGTCACGAACTAAAACTCGTTCAAATATCATGAATAAAAATTATGTACAATAAATCTGAATCTTATGCATAATAAACGTACAAAGAAAATCAGTGTCAGATAAACTATATCTTCAAGCTGCCAATATTTTTAAAATTATTCATCCATGTTAGCTTTTGAACTGTCATTAACAAAAGTTTAAACAAACTTCAATCTCATATAATTGATTATCAGTCTTTATACAATAATCTTAAAATTGAAAATGTTGTCTTCATTTTACTGTAAATGTTAAAAAATATTTACAGTGCTTGAAAAGTATAAGTAACAATGCGTTTTGCTAGTATTACTCAAAAATATAGTTTCCATTTGATTGAATAAATATTACCTTCACTTCAACAATGTACCAAATTTCTGTTATTGCTATTAGAAGTAAAGATTGAGTCAAAATCTACCCCAACGCGTGGGGGACAAGTTCATGGAAGACACCCTGTTTTTTAAAGACTACTTGGTCAGGTACTATTGAATTGATAGACAATTTTTGTTATAAAAAGTTTCATCTATGTTAAACATATTTTTAACACAATGAATTCTACTTTTGACGGTAGTCTCACTGTTATTTCTGCTTAGTTTCATTAGTGTGTTGCACTTTATACAGATGAAAAGGATTGCAGATATTGAATTGGAGACAGAAATTAACTTTTTTGTAATGACGTATATTTTAAAAAAGTTCAGTTTATTCATTCTCCTCAGAGCGGAGGCGTGCATTGGCATTCGTTACACGAATAGAAAGCTGCTGGGCACGCTCAACAATTGATTTGCGTTTCTTACTGCTGACACCATGGGCAATTTCTGCGCAGTATTTTCTGTTTTGCATCATCAGTACTTCGAGTTCCTATAAAACATAAGAATAATTATTTAGATTCAAGGTCTCAATGGTAAATGATTAAAAGTATTAAAATTTAATTTCAAATCATCATTGGAGCAAATACATTATTGAATCAGTTGGAAAATAATTCATTAATATAATAATTCAATCAAGATTTTGCTCATGGGTAAATATTATATTGCTTTTCATAAAAAAAAATGCACAACAATGTTTATATTAAAACAAATTGTCTATGCTGCTATAATCATTGTTTGAAGTCATGAGTAATGAGCAAATAGAATGGTATTCTGTGTGCGGAATCAGTTTTGATACAAGGAATTTATAGTTTACCTTGACGTTGTGTACCAGCATTTTTCTGAAGCCTGTGGGCAGCATATGACGAGTTTTTTTGTTGCTACCATAACCTATGTTTGGCATAAGGTACTGCCCTTTAAACCTACGTCTTACTCTGTTGTCAATACCCTTAGGTTTCCTCCAGTTTCTCTGCAAAACAATTCAACGATAAAATGTGTTCCAACTTAGGTGCCAAAAAAAGTTATCGTAGTTCGACCAACCTTCAACTTATCATACCTGTCACTTTGGTGACGGGTAAATTTCTTAGTCCTCTTTTTGAGGATGGTGGGCCTATAAACTGGACGAATAGCCATTTTGCCTTTCTGACGTTACTTTAACTAAAACACAAAAAAAAACATGTTGATAATCACCACATGTTAATCATACATCTAACCTGCATCACAGAAAAAGTAATAATTCTAATATGAAGTCATATGATCACTTTTACAATGCATACACACATAATATAATTAGGGAAAGTTTCATACAAATAATTCTGAACAAATTTTGCAATCAATTATTCATAAATTTTTATTAAAATCAAATTATTATTGGAGAACTTACACTTAGCAACGAAAAGGCCGAACCGAAAGGTTAATTCCACGACTGCATGGTGATTTTGAAGAAACGTTTCAAAATCGTCAGTCGTCACGAATTGGTCATTTTACCGATGCAGCGCGTAATTTGTATTTTTCTCATTAGAAAAACTAAAACCTTTTTGTTTTGGATTTTTACAATAAAAACTATTTTTATGGGAATAATCAAAAATATAAATGGTCACATTCACACATTTTTTCTAAAATTATTAGTAACATTATCTGCTATCATCTTTTATTAATTTGCAAATATTAATTTTTTCACCAGGACTCGCCCGGTAATTAAAATCTCTTTCACGAATAAAGAAGTCACTTGTCACCGGCAACTTCTTGAAAAATTAAAAATAGCACATGCAAGTGCACCGCATGCACCGGGCGGCGCGGATCGCACGTGTGGCTGGAATGAGGAATCAGTCAATTGCAGCGCGCAGGTGTAATTTTCAAATTCACATGTGCGTTTCGATGAATAGCCATTCACTTGAGTGAATTTTCAAATTTATCATATACAAATATATGAAATAAAAATATATAAAATATGCACGGCATACCAAGTTCAGTTTGTCGAAAATAAAAGTGAAAGTAACTGTTTGTAAGAGAATACGAAATTTTCATTGAATACTTTTCCAGACAAAAAAAAGATTTCGTCAGCCGAGTATCGTAGGGCGATTGCGTTTTAAATAAAAAAACGTAGACCTTCTCTATAACTATCTGTAAACAAAACTTTAATGAGATAAAAATTCAATAGAATTAAAATCCAAACAGATTAAATAATGCGCCGAACTCTCGAACAACCCATACGCGGTGAAAAATCTCACCGTCGTCAAGGCGGCGCGTCGTCCCACATTTAAGTATTCTCTATCATCGAACATTCGAAAGTAATTAGAGCGACAGACGGCAGCTCGAATTTAAAATGATACCTAATGAATTGAGAAAATAAGTCGAGCAATTTATATAATTTTATTTTATTTTGATAAATGAATATACAAAGTTTACATTCAGTTCAATAAATACACTGTGATGTTAATGAATTTGCTTTCCTCTATTATAACTGCACTGATTTGAATTTTCAAACAATCATTGAATTCACAAATGCATCTAAAATTGAGCAATTTTGAGTTTATAAAGTAACATACTAAAAATCATTCGAATTCATGGCACATTAGGTGTATTTTTTCTTCTTCATAAGAAAGTAGACTAGCAGTATAGTATATTTTTGTTTTAAACAAAAACATAATCACAAAACAAACATTATTTTACAGAATATGTCATGAATGAAAGTCGTGTAAAATAAATCTTAATCCTATACATAATAAACGTACAAAAGAAATCAGTGTCAGGAAAACAATATCCTCAAGCCGTCAGTATCTTTAAAATTATTCATCCATGCAAGCTTTTCAATTATCATTGACAAAATTTTAAACAAACATCAATGTTGTATAATTAATTATCAGTCTTTATACAATAATCTTACAATTAACAATATTACTTTTTACTTTAAATGTTAAAAAATATTTACAGTGCTTGAAAAGTATAAGTAACGATGCATTTTGCCCGATTTCCAGAAAGCAGAGTGCTTAACATCAAGACATTTTTGAGCAATTTAGCGATGATTTTTTAGAAAACGATTCCCTACTATAGCTCTCATCGAGAACAAACACAACTTTAAGGGCAATAGTTCACCCAATTCTTTATAGTCAACTAAATTTTAACAGTATTTCATTCTTTCGCGTAACTACGATTGTTATCAGTTACAATTGTACTCAAAATACTTGTTATACCTGAATAATACAGAGTTAGATTATTGATTCGTATCGTTCAAAGAAAATAAATATTCTCGATAACACTGCTGTAAATGAAAGATTTTTATCTGAAGTTCATTAACATTATGCGGTTTTATTTCATTGTCTAATTTTCAAGTTTTAATCCTTTTTTTTATTTTTTCAACACTACTGACTCTAGAAAGACAGTAAAAAAATATCTTTGCAAAAAGATACACGTGTGCTATTGTTCTTGTTATTTTTGTTTTTTTTCTTCCATCTATTTATTGTGCTCAGCGTTTACTCCTTATTACAAATGATATATGCTGCTCTTTTCATTAATTATGTTTTTTTTTTAGATATTATACCATCTACGTGTGTCGACCCTTGTTGATCCATTTTGTTTTAATGATTTATATGAATGCTAAAACGTGACAATATTGCTTAATTATTGATGATGATGATTCGCTATTGATGATGATGACAATGATATGATGAATGAAGTACTTTTCATTTTACAAAGTTTCTTAATATCGCACTTCGATTATTGTATTGTCACGCCAAGTCCAAAGTGTCGGAGTTTATTTTCGCGTTTAAAAGAAATTATTGCTTCGTTAAGTAGATTTAACATTTTTTTAGTGTCAGCGCATGATCTTCCTTGTTATTAACACGATTTGAAGCACTTATTTTGACGCTAAACTCTCCGATGCATCACAAATATTTCTCTGTTGTACAAAACATAATTTCATCTGTATCTTTATTTTAAGTTATTATTTTTTGTAATTTATCGAGAAAATTCTGTCGAGTCTGGTCCTTGATTTTACATTGATATAATTCCGGTTTTGTATGTTGCTTATTTTTTTGTTTTATTATACCCTCATTCACGTTTATACGGGCTTTCCGATAAATGATCATTCAAAGCGTTGCGAAGCTCGCGATCAGCAAGATTCTATTTTAACCTTTTTTTCAAATAGATTCCGGTATATATAATTGTTTTATAAATATATATGTGTATATAAAGAAGTTTATTTTTACGCGTGGTGTATATAATTTTTATCATTATTTTTTTTTACAATACCTAGACACTCAATTTTTTGCTTTATTTCATTCAAGCGGACTTCATTTTTATTACGAGTAATAATCGATTATGAGTGAAACGTGTATGTATCATTTAAATGGTCATGCTTTATTATTAATGTATATGATAGCGATTACGATACGAGAGGCTTTTTTCACCCCCTCTCGATCTCGTCTACATTTGTTCTGAGAAAATATTATGCTGAGAACAGCAGGATTTAAATGCGCTTTTCTGAATATAAAGAATAATGATCTGTTTACTTTTTTTTCTTTACTTTTTTCCTTTTCACTACTACTGGTAAAATAGCACTTCGATCTGCATCTCTGGCGGTTACCGTTGTAAATATTACTTCTTATAAATTACGTTATATTCCCAGCAATTCATCACATGTGCACTTATTTACATTTACGAACTAATACTTTGCGCACTGCTCGAAGCATGTCAAGAACAGAAGAAAAATACATTGTAACAAACGCAAAGGTAATTACTGTAATTTAAATGCTACTTTATCTAATAATTTTTTTCACCTATCTTTTCTGTAATCGCAACAGAATTATACAATATTTTACTCTCTCTAAACGTACACTTAAATAGACTAACAAAATTTTATCGTCAAAGGAAGCTTCCGTTTTTTTCTCTTAAAAACGATGAAATGGTATGTATTTTTTATGCATTGTTTATGTACTATGAAGCGTTTTTTATTATTTTATTTCTCGTCGCGTATCGGCTATTGATCTATACGTGCACGACAGCCGCATCAAAGGAGAGTCGGTGATACACATGGAAATGAGCGAGTGATCGATCCAGTAACTCTTTCTCTTGCTTATTATTTTTTCCTTTTAGTTAGCATATACGGTTAGTTAAATGCAGCTCGTATATCGATAATATCGCATTATTAACTTTTAAATTTACTTACTCGTAACAATGGCATAGCTTTTTAATAATGATAATGACAATAATAATAATCGTTATAATACTATATTTGTTATCAAATTTTTTTCAATCAAGGCCTTTACTTCGTCCTTCACCCTCGATACGTAATAATCAAATTACGATCGAGGAACGTAATCTCCCGCTAGATATGTTGAGAGTTCGCGACCGCGAGAGATTGCGTTTTATTTTTGTGTTATCGCACGAACAAGGTCCTTTTTCTATTTTACTTAATCAGGAACGACGTAGTCTTTAGAACGCGTGCTCTTAAAAAGTTTATACTATTATAATAATTTACAGAAAAAAGTTTCATCGCAGACAGAAATATTCCTATTGTATATAATAATGTAATATAATAAGAACGAACATCATGAGTACCTATAATTTTCTTTTAGACACGAGAGTCCGACTTTTGAATCTTTTTCGTCTCTCTTTTTTTTTCGTCAATATATAAAAATTTTTAATCTTCGTAAAGCATTATCATAGAGAACAATTGAACGTCAAGTTTTTTAATCTGTTTTTAATATATATAATATGTAATAATACGTTTACGTTTATGTAAGCCTAATATATCATTCCGTCAATTATTTGATATGCATAAATCTAGTTATCTTTGAACAAAATAAACTCGTACAATAAATATTCGCAACAGTCCTTGGTAAATATACACTCGTCTACGCGTCACATAGTATATTATAATATATCTTATATATATATATTTTTTTTCTTTAAAAATATGAATAAAAATTCAAAAAGTGCTGAAAGTTTTTTTAGAGCTACAACAATTTATAATAATCGACTTATTAAATATCTCGAAGAAAAATGATCACATTTTCGGTGACTGAGAGTAACACAATCAAGTCTATTATACGTTATTATGCGTGGTGGGCTTGAATGAGTGATTAAACAGGGTAACAAAAAATCGTTGGGATAATAATACAAGAGAGAGAGAGTGTGTGTGTGTGTGTGTGTGTGTGTGTTTGTGTAACGAAAAAACGTCCCTCCCTTCCCCCGTAGAACAATTGTCACGAAACAACGAACAGCAACAACGACGGTTTTTTTGGAATAATACGCGATCGGTATCGACATGATCTACTATATTATATCAAAAAATTAGGATGCGTGATCTGCGCGCGACTCGTCGATCACGCGTCGTCGTCAATCGGCAAAAACGCAGCCGTATCTCCAGTAGTGCACCTTGACGACCCTCGCGCGCTTCTTCAGCCTCCACCTGTCCTAATGCGGCAGACACGTGTCCGAATCGCCGCTGCTGGCCATGGAGAAGTTGGCCGAGTCGCGATCCGACTGTCTCGGCTGTGCTTGTTGTTGCTGCTGGAGCTGCTGGAGCTGCTGCTGCTGCTGCTGATGTCCGTTGTACATCGGCTGCGGTCCTTTGCCATTGATCTGTGGAAGCTGCTGCTGCTGCTGCTGTTGCTGGACGGCGGCGATCCCGGCCTGGGCCGTAGTAACGGTGGTGGCCGGTAACTGGGGAAAGGTGTGATGAGCCGCGGGGCCGCCGCCCAAGTGATGAGCGCTCGGCAGGACCGCGGCCCAGGGCTGCTGGCCGTTGGTCTGCACGGGCGGGAAACGCTTGACGAAGGGATTGGGGCCGCCGTGCAGCATCAGCCGGATGCCGTTGTGATGCGAGGGCAGGGTCGTGTGCGCCGCCACGCCGTTCGTCACGACCTGCAGCGGGGCGGTGACGGTGGCTTGACCGATCTGCTGCGTGATCGGCTGCAGGGCGCTTTGAGCTGTGACAAAAAAAGAAAGTTATTCATAGTCACGAGATAGTGAATCGCATTCAAAAATGATAGCGCCAATGAAAATACAGCTTGAGTTTCCAAGCAAGATTTATAAGCGATCTTGTGCGAAATCATCATTACATTGCTAGACTTACTATTGATTATTAATAATTACTAAATGTATAATAATAATATAAACTTAAGTGTAGTCTTCTTCAAGTCTATTAATTAAATCAAGATTATGGAACATAATTCACTCTGATAAAAATGTTCGACATTGCCATAATAACAAGAAATTACTGTTTAATAGTATTAAAACACTCTAACATTAACTAATAATGTTCTCCCAAGCCCATTTTAAAATGAACTGGTAATGACAATTGAATTATTTCAAAAAACTTAGGTCGATTTTCAACTACTTTAAAATACGGCTTTAAGCTTTTGCCACTAGGTGGCGAGTATCTTTTTCTCTAAATCCCAAGTGGTAAAGTAAAAATAATTGTATAATAGCTACCAGGGATACTCAAAAGGTTAAGACGACGATTCTCGCATGCAAGTTCTTGCGCAAAACCTCATAAAATATCGTTTCAAGATCATACATGGAAACTTACATGATACATCGTCCGGTATTACAACAATAATGAGAAAATCTTACGAGAATTTCTGGGCTGCACCGAGCCGCAGCTGCCGCTCATGCCGTTGGTCGCGACGTAGCTGTGGCTGGCGTGCGGCAGCGGCATCGTCGAGCAGTGCGGATAGGTGACCGTGGGCTGGGTCGGATAGTGCGGCAGCGTGGCGCTCGACGACTGCACCGCGCGCAGATCCGTCGCCTCGGTGAACGAGGTCATGCGCATGTTGGTCGAGCGGCCGAAGGGCTCCTCGTTGAGGCCGCCCGGCTCCTGGATCTTGGGCCGCGAGTTCTTGCGTCGGATGACGACCGTCGCCTCGGTCTCGAGTATCACCGGTGGCGGGGTCGCCACCACCCCGGCGGCCACTATCGTCGTCTCGCCGTTGTAGATCGGCTGATGGTTCACGTAGGCCGCGTTGCTCGCGTTGCTCGCGTAGGTCGCGTTCGGATTGGCGATCACTCGGCCGGGATTCGACATCTTGGCCGGACTGGACGAGTTGGAGGAGGTCGGCGGCTGGGTGCCTCGCTGCAGCGAGCAGCTGCGCCAGTGGGGCTCCTCGCGCGGCTCGTTGGTCAGATCCTCGACGCTGGTGGCTCGACGCTGACTGCTCGCGCTGCTGTGTATGCCGCTGGACGAGGTCTCGCTGTTGTTGCTGCTCGCGGCGCTGATGGCGTTGCTGCTCGCGGTCGTCGGGTCCAGAGGTGGCGAGTGCGACGAGTCCGAGCGCGGCGTCAGCGGCCCGTCCGCGGGCATGCCCGAGTCGGCGCGACGCAGACATCGAGGTGTCAGTCCGCTCGGCTACGATAATACGACGCGAATGTCAAAACTCGCCACTTCATCGTTACGATCAATAATAACACTGCGACTCACCTGTGAATTTGCGTGCAGCACCACCGTGTCTTTGGTCGGCGTGGGCGGAGGCAGGGGCAGCGGCTGATGATGATCCTGGGCGACCATCGCCTCGACCTGGTGCGGCGCGGGTGGATCCGGCAGCGCGTCCAGTGGACTGTTCTCGCCCTCCGACGACGGCTGCAGGTCTCGATTACCGCTCGCGTAGTAGGTCACGTGGTCGTCGCTCACGCACTCCAGCAGCTGATTTTTTATTTTTGGTTTCATCGATAAAATATTTATTAGTTTCACGTTAGAGCTTTACGATGGTTACATTAAAATATTTAATAAAAATATCGAGACCAATATATATGATGTTGTATATAAAACTGCATGAGTTATGATAATTGATTTTCTAAGATGAGTATACATCATTTTTATTTCATTATTTTGATAATGTAATGCTATTTCGATCGATTTTCTAAATGATTCGATGAATTATTACGATATATTACGAGGTATGGGGCGATATGGGACCAACTGAATTCTCGCTTAAGATATAATCCTACAAATGTATACGATAGTTCTGTCATTAGTGGCAGTTAGTCCAAAAAATGAAACGAAAAAAATAAAACTTAAATGAACATTGCGCTAATTGTTCAAATTATGCACCATATATGCAAACAAGCTCGTCCAGCAAACAAATCAGCTCAATTATGAATGAAACTATATAATGATAAAAAAAGTGAACGATGAATTAGCTTTGATAAATTATGCTTGTAAAGCGTTTGATGATTGTGATGATGATGAAGATGATAATGATGATGATGATGATAATGACGACGGTAATCATGCAACAACCCGATGCATGTATGCCTTTAATCAGCATCATTATATATTTATAGAAATACTAAAAGTCAATAATATATCTATAACAACTCAGGTATAAATAATTTAAATTCCAGTTCATTCAAATCAATAATTGAAATTAAATTCTAAAATTAGCGGCAAAGTAGCAGCAAAAGTAAAGATAACAATATAAGTAAAGTAACGTTTTGGATTTACACAGAACAAATACAGTCATATCGATAATTCAACAAGAAAAGATTATTTTAAGCGTCCTCTTACATCCGTGAAGTTCGGATAATATCTAGTCCTACGTGGCTTACGGGCCTTACGAGGCTTCAGCCATCCCCATAGCTGTTGTGCACAAAATAATAACAATACATAAAGTTATAATTATCAGTTGTTTTTTCTTTCTTTTTGTCTAAACCTAATAAGTCAGAGTCTCGAGGAGTCAATCAATAATTGTTGAGTCAGTGTCACGTGTCGATTCCTCACGGTTATTCGAAAGATGCAGCGACACGATATACGAAATGAAATTATTCATTCATTCACCACTTCATCCGATGAATGATTTTCATTTTATCTTTTGATTTTTTTTTTTTTTTTTTTTTTTTTTTTTTTTTTTTTTTGATTCTCTGATCGATAATGTGTGTGTTGAAAAATCAGCTCTCGAACGTATGGCTAATCGAGTGAAAAGTTTTCTCTCGCTCTCGTGCTTTATATAAATATGTAGGTAAAACGTATATGTGTGTGCGCACAGGTGTTCGAGTTGTGATAGAAAAGCTGTTTAACATGTATAATGAGATGAGGGCTCTCTCTCTCACACTAGGCACAATCAATGACTTACTTTGTTCTCCTCCGAGGTGTTATCCTCGTCGTGGCCGCTCGCCAGTGGCAGCTCGCGCAGCGTCGCGTAATCCCCGTCGTCGATGGTCCCGTCTCTGCTCTTGCCTTTGCTACTGCGCCAGCGGGAAAAGAGAAAGAGAGGCGAGATAATAGAGGGAAATTTTGCATTGGCACAAAAGTTTAATCGTTTTCCATTATTCAAAGCGTCAAAGTTCGTTCGCAAAACGAATCCTCTCGTCTTTTGCTCGTGAAACGTCTATATATAGAGAGAGATTGTGTTTTTTTTATTGATCGAGCTAACTACAAATGAAAACAAAAAAACAATGGGATTTCGTTTTTACCAATAAATTTATTATTTATAAATAGCTTGTTGTATTAGTGTTTTTATTATATAAATCATGTACGTACAGAAACAAAAAATAAATGAAAAAAATTAAGGAAAACAGACAGACAGTCTTTACGATTGTTACAAAAATTATAATGCGCTATGTAAATTACGGTTAATTGATTAAAAAAAAGAGAGTCGTGCTCCATTAAAAAATAAAAGCAGCGGAATTATCATTGGAAGCTTTCAACGAGGATATACAAGTTTTTAAATTCGAGTGTGCAAGAGAGAGAAAAAGAGGGAGAGAACCAAAGAGAGAGATATTGCAATATAAAGGCAGCGATATAGCGTGCATATAGGAGAATATAGTAACCGTCAGAGATGAATTGGAAATCGACTCTCGAATACGAGATTCGATTTGGTGCAGGAAGAGAGAGACTCAGTACCCCCGAGGAGATGTTAATGGCTTCGTCGCACTCTAGTCAGTCTCTCTAATCCTCTCTCTCTCTCTCTCTCTCTTTCTTTCTCTTTCTCTTTCTCCTCCTTCTCACTCTATATATTGCATGGCAAGTTTAGTCAAAGTGTCGCGTTGTACACACATACACTATACAAGTCGATTTATATATTAAAACTTAGTCGATATATCTTACACATTTATACGTAATGCTCCATTTATGAAATAAATAATAGTTTCTCTATAGATCATACACTATGGCTATTAACGTTATAATTACACTTAAAAATTTCTAGCTATACTCATTCGTGCAAGGAGCCAACTACAACAAATAATATCGTATACGCTAATCATAATCTAAAACATAAAAGATCATCTGATATCAATTAATTCTGCTGCCGTTCTAAAAAAAACAGCGTTAATAATCAAAAATTTTCAACGCGTTCGTTCTCTTACTCAAAAGAAAAAAAAACGTAAAATTAATACATATTACGTGCAACACTACAGTCTGTAAAACTGAATTTCATTGAAACAAATAAGGCGATCACAAAAAAATCTCACATTCACGCGCATGCTTGCGTATATTAATGTTCTAATATATTGTATTACCATACTTTTTGCGCCTGCTAACGCGAGAAGTTGTTTCGAGCTCCCGCGGCATTTGCATCTTAACGCGTGTGCCGAAAACTTCTCGCGCGAGCTGTCGCGCGCGCTCGCAAAAAATCGAAAATAATAAGTCTAGACGACGCTGCGCGCGTTTTTACTCTCTTTTCTCAAACTATCTAAAGACTAGATAGGACCTGAACTATTGATCACTATCAATAGGCGTGTACAAATTTGCTAATAAAATTATTATTATACGTATTAATCACAAGGTAAGAAGAGTCAAAAAATATCAAGCAAAACAGATAGATCGCAATGAATAAATCATTTGAAAAAAAAAGATGAAGTTAGTTTACGTTACTCTTTTTCTTATAAACAAAAAAATGGTAAATGACACTAAGTTAAAAGGGTGACGTAATTAATCATGATGCGTAAGTGTGTGTGCGTGTAAATTATAGTTACCGCGAGGTACTAGGTAGATCATTGAAAGTGACTTTTTGCTTGGGTTTTTTGTCACCCGCCTGCACGGGCAGAGGTCGGAGCTTCGGTCTCAGCCAGTAGATCTGCTCGTCGCCGTCGCCGGCAGCGTCCCCGTCGAGGGCGTCGATGCTATTACCTGTAAGAGATTAAAAAAGAGAAGTGGTTAAGTTTTTGTCGACTAATCGTAATAACTTCATGGGTCGATAAAAAAAAATAACGAGGGAGAATACCAACCTTGAGATCTCGATCTACGATCGATAGCAGCCTTCTGAATGACTCCCATAATGGCTTTCTTGGGACTCGTCTCGGCAACCGTGTAAGTCCTGCCATTACCTAGAACGAGCAACGGTGCATTGGGCGAGCTAGCATCTTCGCTGGAATCGTCCTTGCTGTTCATGAGATCTACGTCCGTGACGAGTCGGATCGACCTGGTCGATCGCACCGTCGCCCTTCCGATCGTGATCCTCAACTTGAACGTCCAGTGGCGCTTCACGGACAGTCCGAGCCAGAGCACGAGCCACAGCGCCAGGTGCAGTATCGTCGCGCAGATGCAGGCCAGCACGGCTCCGTCGAGGCTGCCCCTGTAGACGACCGTGTAGTCGTAGAGCAGCGGAGCGTTGCAGATGGAGATGGCGAGGAACAGACAGACCGCGGCCGGATGCGTGATGTAGGTCCAGCCGGTGTCGTCGGCCCGGGTGTCCTTCGACAGGATGATGCGTCGCTCGCGCTCCTGATTCAGGAACATGGTGAACCGTCCGTAGGCGTAGAGGTACATGACCATGCTGGAGCAGAGCACCAGCAGCGACGACATGATGAATATGCCCAGGGTGACGTGGGGATTCAGGAGGAATATGCGATCGCCGAGGAGATTGGCCAGTGTGCTGCCGGTGCCGGTCAGTGTGCCGTTGGTCAGGGTCGTCACTTGTCGGTGACGCATCAGGGGCAGAGCCTTCATCGGCCCGACCACTTGTACCTGCGAGAGAGAGAAACGAGGGAGAGGTGAACGAATGAAATAATTCTAAATGTGATGGCTTATAAGAAAAATGAGAATCGATTCTGGTGAAATACAAAACCATAAATTTGCTTATCTTGGACGATTTTTCTGTTACAATTGTGTTAAAAATTCAAGTGCATTTTAAATAACTCAATAAAGAAAAATCTAATTGTTTGGAAAAGCTTAAATCTCTATTCAATCACTTTAAATACAATAATATTATTTTAAACCTCTGCCACTAGATGGCGAGTACCATTATTTGTAAATCGGCAAGTGGTAAAATAAGAATAACGGTAGAAGTACAAGCACGATTTAAAAAAAATACAATCGTAGTGCCGATTGAAACTTAATTATTGATGAAATGTAATAATTTGCAAAGTTACTCTAATGACCAGAGTACGACCAGTACCAATGACTCATATTTGTCCAAGAAATCATTTCGTTTACCAACAACCAGCCATTGAACGTTAATAATAAAAGGTTCTATCGAATAGGGAAGATCAACAAACACGTACCTTGTACAGTACCGACATTCCCGCGTAGGCGAGCAGACTCTGGGCGGCGTTGCAGACGAGCTGGAAGCTGAAGATGACGCCGAGCGGCTTGTTGGTCGCCCAGAAGACGGCCGGATAGCGGACCGAGTAGACGCCCAGGGCCAGCGCGTAGTTCAAGTACTCGAACGTTATCGGTCCGTAATCTTCGCCTATAATAAATGAAAGACAAATCGATCGATACTCGAAACGCCAATCATTCGAGTATGCATAAAAGTGCGAAATGATACTCACTCTCGTCGATGTCCTGATTGAGGCTCTCGGGATGATCGAGATCGGCGAGGCTGCTCATGCTCAGCGGCAGGCTCTGAGCCGACCAGTTGCCGGCATTGTGTCCACCGCCACCACGACTGTTGCTCGATTCACGGCCGCTCTTGCTCGTCCTGGGTCGAGCTATCGCCGAGTTCTTCTTCGATTTCGGCCGATAGTGTCGTTGCTGCTGCTGCTGTTGTCCCTGATTCTGCTGGACGTTTCTCGCGTTCATGCGCGGCGAAGGTTTCCTCGTGGTGCTGGTGCTCGACCAACCATCGCCACTCGCGTCCGACTCGTCCTCATTCGGACTCGTCCTTCTGACGAGCTCGGGCAATAAGGCACTGGACGGCTTGGTGGGCGACAACGACGACTCTTCGCTGCTGCTCGTCGAGGCGTTCAGCTGCTCGGCGGTGCCGAACTCGTCCTCCGGGTAGGCGGGATAGGCCGACTGCTGCGTCGTCGGATTGTAATAGCCGTAGACGCTCGCGTTCTCGGGTATGTTCATGAAGCTGAGCACGACGAGGCGCTCGCGATGCGTCACCACCCAGTCGAGATCGGTGCGCCATATGGCATCTGTGCGGACAGACAGAGAAAAAACCAGTTTAATAAAATAGAAAAAAAAACGATCGAATTGAATAGTTGTATTGTTTTGGAGCGAATTGAATTGTTTTATATATGTATTAAATCTGCGAACCGCGCGCGTATATAGGCGTCACTTTCGGGCTAATAGATAAAAGGGAATCGAACACGGGGAAACAAAAACAACAACAACGACAGAGAAAAAAAGGTAGAAAAAATACAACACAGAGCCCGTAGAGTCTGCGTGATAGCGAAAGAGGTGAAAAATGGGGGAACGCGCAATAAGTAAAGCGGCGAAACGATATCACCGCTATACAACGCAACGCAGTAGTACAGCAGCATACACACAAATGAAAAGCTCTCTCGTCGCCGCCGCCAGCCCGTGAGCGCTAGCTGGCGCAAAGCTCAACGGCGCGTTAATGCTAAATGCTAACGCCATTGGCAGTGAGTGGTAATTCATCGAGTCGAGAGAGAAAAACAAGCTTGCAAAGGCAACAGTAGCAGTTCGATGCTGCTGATGCTTTTGCCTTTCGACGCTTGTAACATTAAAATTCTTTTATAAATACAATGGTATACAGGCATATACACACAATTCAAACATGGGAGAGTAGCTAGTTCTCTCGCTTTCATTGCGCGTCGTTATAGTCGACTATTTGTTAGTATCATGGCTGCATGTACACGGGCGGAGGCAAAGAGTTTGCAGGAAATTGCACAGACAGTCGAATCCAAGAGTAGCAGCAGCAGCTTGCACAAACGTTTTACGATCGAAAAAGCTCACTCGCGGTGACATACAGAGACAAACGTGTGCGGCTACTATAGTCGAAATATTGTTTCGAGCTCTCTCTCTCTCTCTCTCTCTCTCTCTCTCTCTCTCTCTCTGATCTCGCACAAGTCAATTTCAAATAGTTCGCGATTCTACGAGAGTAGACGGCACACACGGCGTATTACGGATGGAGGTTTTCTTTTGACCCGATAGTATACTGAGCTGTGCGACGGAACGAAGAAGTACGTCAAAGGCCGTCGGCCGCGCGCGAAAGAAACGAGAGAATTTAAACAAGTTCACGAGAGAGTAAAAGGAGCACACCTATAAAAGTGTACTCTAGCTTTTCTTTTGTCCAACGTCGAGTTTGCTCCCTCTCTCTAGCTACAAAACGACCTTTTTTCTAAATGTCAAATATATATCTATCCTCGCGGTATACATCTATAACATTACAGCGCAGCAGCAGCTGCTACGTGGCTGCATGTGTATAGTCCTTATCCAGGGCAATATCTTTGCCATCTGCAGCAGTACCGAGTATCCACCACCACGAGCTCAAGACAAATTAAAGTGCTCTCTCTCTCTCTCTCGCTCAGTTGTGTGTACCACCACTACAACTCGGCGTAAAATACAAATGCCTCGTGATATTTTATCGTCGGAGTTGTTCGCTCGCTCGCTCGCTCATTGCCCCCCGAGCCACTTTAACTTTTTCACTGCGTCCGCGCGCGCGCGCGGGTGAAAGGGAATAAAGAGCCAATAAATTCGAGAGCGCAGAAGCAAAAAAAAAAAAAAAACACGAACGACACGCGAGATGACGAGCAGAAATAGACGCGAGTCGCGCATGTTTGCTCGATTCGACGCGTACGTAGTGGTACTAGTAGTGGTATAAATGCAGTGCGTGTCGGGACTTTTTTTTCATACGGGGGTGGGACGAAAATAAAACCAACGCATGTGCGGCAGCAGCAGAGTAAAGCCTCTCTCAATTCAATCTAGTTTCATTCGAAGAGCAAACTTTGCACTTCTCTCTCTCTGTATTTTCTCTCTCGTCGTTCGCTATCGAGCTTCAATTTTTTTTTTTATTTCACATATAATTATACAGCTACTGAAAATGTCATTTTACTATGCGCGCGAGGGAGTAATCGGCTAATTGAATTCGGACTGGACACACACGCAGGTTTTGCGCGGGATGGGCCACTGACTACGTATTAACTTCGATAGTTTTCAAATTATACTATCTCGAATGATTTAAAATACGTTACTACTAATTTATTTGTTATTCGGCAAATTTGTGCATTTCAAATGACCGATAAATGACAACTCGACTGTTTGAACGGATTTAGAAGTGTTTTAGACCACTTTAAGTACGTTGTTACTACTTTAAGCTTTTACCACTAGATGGCAAGTACCTTCATTCGTAAACCTGCAAGTGACAAAGTCAAAATAATTGTATAAGTCATAATGCACAGTTTGAACGAAAATGTTTTTGTTATATTTAATCAATGATATTCCGAAATCCTCTTTTTTAAATTCGACGCGCCTGCAGTTTAATAATAAATTTCGAATGAAACGCGAAAATTAGCTATCGCCGACACATATTACTTGCACCATGCCCACGCATTCACTGCATGCAGCACCAGCACCGTCAGCGCAGCCAGAGGAGAAGAAATCGGGCTTCGCGCCGGGTATATATATGTATGTAGTCGGACGCGCGGGCCGGCCAGCCCCGACAGGTAGAGAGATACAATATAAGCTTAATCCGATGAGCTGAGAACTGCACGTGACCGGAATAGGTACCTCGAACGCGCACAGGCGCAGGCCGGACAAATAATCCTGATGGACCGTGCGAGAGAGATAGAGGATGAACGAGAAAATGAAAACTTGATGGGGAGAGCTCCTCCATTGTACGGGCGCGCTCGGGACGTTCTCTTTTATCTGGCCGGTAAAATTAATTACACGCCTACTATAACGGATTTTCGCGTGTTTTTTTACGACTCTCCCAGGACTGCGCCGAGAGAGCGCGCAGTTCGGACAAGCGCGCGAGTGGTATAACGAGAAACTCTGCGATATTATATATATAACGTCCGCGGCAAACATGCGGGAGAGAGAGAGAAATAAAGTCCGAAGTGCAGCAGCACCACCACCACAATCACGCACATGCCTATATCGCATCTATATACTACTACACATACCATAACTGTGACGTTTACGGCAGTTAGCCGATATTTAGCCTTCGGGTACATGTGTGCTCGGGCGAAACTTTACGACACGCCGCCGATGTTGCTGCGCCGCGACGGGGCTTTTATGCTTTTAATCACGTAAGCTTAAACTTCGCAATATAGGGATCAAGTGCACGATATGTAGTAGTAGTAGTAGTAGTAGAATAAGTTGGTGCACCGCCACCATCACCTCGTGTGCGCTAATCAGGTTCTCGTTGGAGAAGCAGCTAAAGCTCATGACACCATTTTGAAAGATACGTACTTATGCTTAAGGCGTTAAAATCGAATCCGCAGCAGCTCGAGAAGTGTTCCGCAGAGCGCGTCAGAAGTTGCGAAGCTAATATCAGCTCGAGAGCCGTAAACGTACGTACGTAATACCGTCTTCTTTAATAAATCATCAGCAGCATTAAATGTGCGCGGTTATATAAATAAGCCGCGATCAACTACTTGGCGCAGTAAAGGATTACGTTATTCACAACTTGATTTCATATACCGAACGTTGGTAATTATTAAACGTTCTTCGCACTGCTGCTGCAGCCGCGAAAATTCGCAATACTCGCTTTTGAATTATTATATACAATAATAATTATTATCCGTACGTTGATCGAGCTTACCAAATTCGGTCGTTGAAAATCACGCGATCGCACGCGATAGACGCATCATGATGCGCGTTTCGCAGCCAGAGTGAGAGAGAGAGAGAGACTCGGCTCGGTAATGCTTTTAATGTAACGTAATGATATTCGTCCACACGCTCGTTATATACTCGTACTATATCTCTACCGCTGAATACCTGCCTATATTATAATGTGCGCGCAGCCGAGCAACGAACACACGGCGGGTCGTTCGCTCTCTCTCTCTCTCTCTCTCTCTCTCTCTCTCTCTCTCTCTCTCTCTCTCTCGATTCTCCGCTCTTCCACGCGGGTGTAAGCTGTATATGAAAATGCCATTATATTTCTCTCTCGCGCATTATATGCCTGCTGCGCGACTGGCTTTTTTGGATAATCACCTATTTCGTTGGCGCGCGAGCTTTTGCCCGGTGCGCGCGAGTTTCTCCCGCGATAAACCCGATATAATAATGCTCGCGCGTATATATATAACTATGTAGCCAGGCGCGGAGCTCAAGCTTGTGTAGACAGACGCGCTCTGGCTAATGCAATATTCCGCGTGGAACATGTTAGTTTTAAGCTCCAGCACAGCTCCATGATGCTGTCGCTTGTCTATATATGTGTGTATATGTAGAGTGGAATAGCACGCCGCAAGCTCGACGTCATATAACGCCGGCACGCACGCTGCAAGCTCGACTCTTTTACTCGTATTCGAGAAGAGTGAGAGATAGAGCGGAGAGAGGCAAAATAATCAAAAAGCTTCGCACGCGCATGGTGCCAACGGGCCCGTGTAATGAGAATTTCGAAACGGTTTATTTTTTCCTCGTGCGTGTAACGACAAAATTACGGGTATCGAATTATTAACACGATTATTGCCATCGAATTCGCATGAGTACCCCACACGTGGTCAGAGCTTGTATTATTACGTAAGGAGAAAAAAAGCTCGCACTCGCTCGCCTCGCGGTAACGCGTTGGAAAATTGTTAGGCACTCTGTACATATACGCAGAGTAGCAGCAGCAGCAGCAGCAGCAGCAGCCGACAGGGAACAAGATGAGGATGTGGTGGAAGCAAACGATGAATACGCGCGCGGCGTGGCTTTCTCTCTTTCGCTCGCTCACTCTCTTTCGCTGCCACCTGCAGCCCGATCAATAGTCTCGCGCGCGCTTACTCGGCACTGAGAGCTAGACTCGACTCGGGGCAGGTCGGCCGTACTGTGTTGTGTTATACATATATCTAGCGCTGCTTTCTAGCCACTCGACTTTTAGCTATACAATATAGCTATATATATTTTCGGACACACGGCGCGGCAATAGAGAGAGCTTTTACCCCGTTGTGCGTGGCGGCGGCGCGTATGGCCCATACACGTATAGCTACTCGTGCACGTGCGATACGAGCTGGCTAGCGAGGAATGCCTA